ATTGACATTAATATTAATGATTAATGAAAACATTAATTTTAAAATTAATGTTAATGTTTTTCATTAATCATCAATATTAATGAATTAAGTTTGTCTTAGAAAACATTAACCATTAATATTAATGGCTAATGGAAGTCATTAATTAAGTTCCGTTAAAAAAAATGGTCCACCCCTAGAGGGGGGTGGCCTTAAGGCAAACTAGATAGAGGTGGAGTAGCTTACCGCCACTCTCGGCGATGATGTTTTTACGCTTCTTCACATATCCAGAATGTAACAACTTCATACATAACACACTTATTTATAGGAGAGATATATATTAGAATAATGGAACGAGAATAGAAAGAGGAGAAAGGAGAATCACCCAAACGTGCCATCAATATCGGCACAGAGGGGACTCTCATAGTTGTACTTAATGCCTAGCGGTGATTGTGACAATAATGTTAAATCGTGAATATATGATGATGATGATTAGATCTTATGTAATTTCTTTTTATTTGTGTTCCTGAGTTTGCTTATATGTCATTGATGGAGCTGATTGTATGGAGAAAATTGCAAATGTCTTTTTTTTATACAGTTTCCGGCTTATAATTGTTTTAAATTATTTCGAACCATGTAAAGCATTGCATCCGCTTATGTGTGTTGTTGAATAAGATAGTTTGAAACTAAAGTTGTTATTACTACACTGCAGACATATTGTTTAATATTGGTTTTTAGCTAGATTAATTTTTTATTACATGTGTGAGCCACTGACAAAAAGTATATGAATAAAGAGTAAGAAACGATTATTAGGCGTTTCTATTCTGCAGGAGACAGCCGTGACTTATTAAATTCACATGAATTTATATATTGCATAGCCTTTTAATTTTCAAGTTGCTTGAGGTGTTAATAGATTTTTCGCTTTTTAAATGACTGAAATAGTGGGAGAAATTATATTTTTGATAAGGTATACGTTATTAGTCGATGCACTGTAGTCCAACTTCTTAGAAATATCGTCGCATATATTTTCATTGAGACTGAGTTTGGAAATTTCACTAAAATCATTAGCTTTTACTGAGGCCTAACCAATCAAGCATTTCAAAGCATGATTTGTATTGATTGCGTATGTTCTGTTGTAGTGTCCCTATGTTCCAGAGCAGAGTACTAAAATCTAGAATCATAATATTCGATTAGGATATCAACTTGAATAGCTCTATTAGCAAAATAGATAGTGTATCATATAGACTGTTATATGGCAGTCTAGATTTGAATAAACCCCATGCAATTTAAGTATTGATAACAAATCAATTCGAACAAAGTAATGTGATAATGGTGTTGTATACTCTGATACAATATACTAGAAATTTTTGAATTATATATATTATTTTTGATAAGAGAATTCTTTTAGTTTAAAATCAGAAACTAATGTCTTTTCTTTTATAATAACTTCAGTACATAAACCTTCGCAAACTACAACACATAAACCGATTACTTTGACTGAAGAAAGTAAGTTAAACATTGGCATTACATACGAACATACAGGAGAAAATGAAAAATCGTTTTTCTTTAACTAGAATGTACAAATATGCAAGATGTAGTACAGTTGGGTTCTAAGGTTTTTGCGTCGGTGAATATCAATGGTATGCCTGTTAAAACAGCATCTATTCCAATTTGGCTCGCAGTGACAAACCTACCTTTTGTTATTAAAGCTACCTTTAAACATGTAAGAATATGACTTTTTGTCAAATTTATCTAATTTTCATCTTTTGAACTATAGCCAGCTACTCTCCGTGAAGTCTCAATCGTTAATCCGTCTGAATCAGAAGTATTCTTGATGAAAGTTGCCACTGATCAAACAAGCGATGTATTCAGTATGAATCGTGATGCACCAACTGTGACATTTGAAAACGACTTAGAATTTGTTGGAGAGTTAACAATCACACTGTTATCAACAAGAGATAACATGTTACCAGAAAATCCAGTGAAATTAGCAATATTGGCGTGCTACACCGATGAAACTTTCCGTACCAAAGCAGTCGTTGAATCTAGTAAGCTAATTTTTATTTACACCTGAACAATTATTTGATACTAGTATTTTTATGTATTATATTTAGCACCAGCGACTACTAATGTATCGTCTAGTTTATTATCAACATATCCTAGCACGAACCCGTCGAAACATAAAACAATACCTGACGTTTTGACGACTACGTCTGACACTTGTGAAGATGGCATTGCCCTTATTCCATATCAAAGCAATAATGAAAACAAACCATTAATGCCTCGCTATTTTATACAACCACGAACACCGTATCAGCCAAGTAATATTAATCCCGGAGAAATTGGTGTTTCGTTTCCTGCATCAGACAAGCCTTATATTATTATTTTTCCCATGGCACCAATAGCTATTATAAAATCAGTTCGGTTGCCTAACACAACAAATGTCGATCAAATACGTGTCATGTTTTTGGATGCAAAAGATAAGCCAATAATGACTCATCCATTAGATCAAGTTCCATTACAAATAACTTCACAGGTGACAACAAGTCCAAAAATAAATGTATATCTTTCAACAAAAGTAAATTCTGTTCATATTACATTGTTACATACAAGCGACAATCAACCACCACACGATGTAACAGTTGAAATCGTTGTTTGTGTTGCACCAACAATTACGACACCAACAACTAGTGTGACAGAAGTGGAAACGCACACTGTACCGACTACGGATCATGTATCATCACAACCACGTAAGAATACCAAGTAATTGGAATCTTGAATTTATTTTTCTTCTTTTAATTATAGTTCCCGACAGTCCTTGCAAACCTAAGACCAAATATTCTGCTCGTATCACTGTTGGTGCATGTATTTCTCAACAAGAAATTCAACACGAATCATGTGTTGGTTATTGCCCATCATACGAACAGCTTGATCCATTAACTGGAAATGTTGCAGCAAAAGAATGCTCATGTTGTGCACCAGATTCAACTTATACTGAATCTATTATGATGGATTGTCGTAATACTACCACGGGACGAAATGAACAACGAACAACTCAAATAATTCGTATTCGATCATGCAAATGTTTAATCTGTTTAGGAACAGCAAAAAGATCTTATAGCGACGACAAAGGAACACATGAAACAATGGCGAAAACCAATCCTACGGCAATAAAAACAAGAACACGTCGACGATAGAAATAAAACAGCTTTTGATACAAATTATATATCTTGCATTTTAAGAGATAATATATATGGGTGATAGGTTACTAAAGTTTTAATATATATCATTATATTTAATCTTATTGATTTACTCTTTTATTTTCCTTCTTAATTCCAATTAAATGATATATCGTTCTTATCATTTGATTACGTGCTTTGGATAAAATAAATGAAGTTAAATTATATAAATTTTACTCTATGAATAAGAATATATATCAATTGAATCATAGGGTGTAAACTGTAAGAGGAATAACATGATAATATATTATGATAATCATTCATTATTATTGTGTCAGCTATGATTGTAGCGTTTCAAAGATTTTCATGGCTTCATTTAAAATTTCATTAGCCTACTGCAAGATTAAAATTTTAAAAAAAATCATTTTGCATACTCGAAGATGTACAATAATTATTTGTCTCATCTTAATACTGCATGCATACAGTCTGTTGCATCAATGTTCAAATGTACTGTTACCTTTTTGTCGCTTCCCAAAAAATCAGCGAAAACTCATAAATAATAATAATAATCATAAAAAAAAAGAAGAAAACACAGGCAAACATAAAAGAAAAACAGGTCAAGATAAAAAGAGACAGTGAAGTTTTTTTGCACAATTTCATAAAAAACATGTACACAAGAACAAATATACGAAGAGAAAATTTCGATTTGCCAGTTTTTGAATAAGAAAAAAAATAGAAATTTGACACTGAGGGCACGAAGTTAATTCAATCAGCGGTTATTCATTCTCAAACATGTAGCGGTTTTATATATCATATACAATGTTACATTCTATTAAGTTTGCATCACACGCCGAGACGAGTCAGTACAAACACACAAATATTGACACTCTCTTTTTTTTTATACCTGAAGGTAAACTGCTACAAATGGAGAAGATTGGAATCGAATATAAAAGCAAGAAAAAAAAAGCTTTGACCCTGAACATATTGTTAATATTCAAATGCTTTTTGTTGTGTAGTGTCAGCTTGTTCGATATTATCGGATAGATAGAAAGGTTGAACAATATTCTTGTCACGATCCCATGGTACAAATGCACATGATACATGTCGTCTTTGATCAACTGAAGCTGATTGACTTCGTTGTCGATTTGATAGTTTTTCATTGTTATTATTGTTATTATTATTTAAATTTTCATTTGAACTATAAATTAAAGGAGTACGAGATGCTTGTCTATCGTTGATGGAATCATAAACAACAGTTTGAAATTCTCTCGGTACTTCCCATTCGACTTCATTCAATTGACTAACGCTAGCAAAACGCATTCTACTCGATGATGATGATGTTGGATCACTTCTTGAAATAGTTGATTCATTGGGAATAATTATTTCAATTGCACTTGTTGGATAATCAATTGGAATTGATTCATCTGTATTTATTTTGACTGATATTCGAGGTGATTCATCAAATTTTGATGGTGTCCGACTACGATGTGTTTGAGAATATTGTATTGAGAGTAAATCAAGCGGTGGTGATGGTGATGGTGATGGTGATGGCGGTGGTGGTGGTGTACTATTACTACTTTTAAGAATAGATTTCGGTACAATAGTTAAATTATTACCACCGAATGATTCAGTTGATGTATCTGTTCGTTGTGTATGTGGAAGAATAAGGTCAGAACGGCGAAGAGATTGAAATTGAAAATTTTCGAATTCATTTTCATCATCATGTTTAAAATTGTCATGATCTTCATATTCATGACGATAATGACGAAGATCAAGTATAGTTGGATGAGGAGGTGGAGATTGATGCGTATAAATATAATCATCTGTCGGATAAGAACGAATTTCATAATCAGCTGGTAATAATTGTGCTGTATTAATTATACCAGTTGACTGTGGTGCTTGTAATTCAATCCAGTTTAAATGTTGAGACGAGGAAGGAGGTGATGCTATTACAGATGATACCGGTGGATTAAATTCATTACCATCATCATCATCATCATCATCATCATCCCCACCACCGTCACGATAAAAGCCAAAATTTTGAATACCGCTATCGAAACTGATCGTAGGATTTTGCCCACGAATAGTACCAACAAGTGCTAATTCATCAGCATGTGGTGGACGAAGGATTGTTGACTGAAATTGTGATGGTGTACCATTATTACCTTGCAAATATTCATATTCTTCTCGCTACAAAAAGAAAATAGAAAACGAAAGTCAACATTCATCTACTATAACTAACTATAAATCGAGTTTTATCTTGAAAATAACCAATCAACTGAAGTGTAAAAATAACTAACTTGAAATCAATTGATTTAATTAAATACTTATTCTTGTATAAACAAAAATATCTCATCTATTTGTTTCGTTCGTTCGATTGGCAAAAAAAACATTATTCTAGCTTGATGACGAATTATTCTCCTTGAACACCGATCAACAAGTAACATCAAGCGGTAACTTGATATATTAGATATCAGGAATGGGTATAAAAAAAACTTTTTCCTTGCAATTATTCAAATGTACTATTGAAAATTTTACAAAAAAAAATCGAATTACCTTAACATAAAATCGCTTCGGTTTAATACGATTACAACACCACCGGCATAGAAAGATGATACATAGAAGTTCGAATAAGATTATGGAAAATACGGCCCAAAAAAATAAATTTGTTTCCAGTTGGTTCATCGTCGTCTATCGAGGAGATGAGCAATCGATAATACCTGTACTGAAACCGAAAAAGATACGAATAAAATCAATTACTAGTCGACAAATAGAAGTTTATAAAATTGCGTAAGAAAGAACGTAATATTCATGAGAAGGTTATCTCTAGTTGATGATCCATACATTAGAAAACGAAAGACTATTATTGATCAAAGAAATAGCTACGATTGCCTTCAAAGTCAAAGGATACTTTCATACGAAAATAAAATTCAATGTTCAATATGAAGTGGTAGGTCATCGTTTGGTTCAATTGTAGAAAAAAAATTTAAAAAAACATATATATATATATATATATACATGTATATAGTAACAGAGACAATTGTATGATGTAATTGTTCTGAGTATTTTTTTACCCTGAAGCCTATTTGAACAAAAAAAGAAAACGACTGATCGAATTTCAATGGGTCTATTTTCAAAACGAACTCGTCATAAATAAGATTGATCATAAGTATTTGAATGCGCACGCGTTCTCTTTCTGTATATCTTAGCATATGCGAGTCTCAAATTTCAACAGTATGAAAAGGTGCGAATAAATTACTTCCACACATTTATATTAATATGAACGAATAAAAATGTTCGACGACGATGCCATAGTACTGCAATTACAGAAATCAAAAGTATATTAAATATTTGAACTTATATTGTTCAAATCAAATTCCAAATAAACCGAAACAGACTTTCTTTTGTGCTTGCATAGATTACTAGAATGTCGTTTGATAGAAATGAATAATCTGTTCTCAATTTTGTGTCCAAAAATCGATGTATTCCTTTTGTACTTTTTCTCTCTCTCTTCTCGTCTCTTTATCCCTATTCCAATTGTTTTTCTTTTTGACATACAATAAGAATACATTCGGTTTTGTTGCTCTTCCTTCTTACGATGTGGTTTATGTCTAATCCACAACTGCAATCATTTCACATACTTGAAATATGTAGGCACACTCTATGCTTTTTTTGTCTCTCATTTACTCTTTTTTTTGTGTCGATTGTTATTTTTGACTACGTTAAGCACATCTATATGCATTATTTTGTTACCTGCAAATGTCTCTTGTTTTTCTATGTCATCTTTTACAGACAAAAACATATGACAAAGAATGAAATCGTACAAGTATCAAAGTGTGAGAGAAAGAGACACAAGAAAATATGTCATTTTAACTTATACTTTCATTTTTTACCTTTTGATACTGGTGTGTCGTGCCCGAATTTTTAACATTTACTTTCCTACAAAATTTTATCATGACATCAAATCATTTACTATTTGTGCTCACTTAAACATTATTGGTGTTTATACAAAATAAAAAAAAACCTCGACGAGCACATTACCAAAAAATGAGGAAGAAAAAAGAACAAAGGCGAAGATTAACTGACGTATAGAGATTTTCTGCTCGATGCATTCGTGATTATAATAAAATACAAAGAGAAATAATAGAAAAATATCACGGTAAAGTTCTTTCATTCTTTCAAAATACTTACATAAATTGATTGTATCACCAGTTGATACATTGAAAATGATAAGACATGTATTTGAACAAGATACATTTGCATGCCATGCAGAAGTAAACTAATTTTCTTTTATATTTTTATTCTAATCTAGGTAGACTTTAGCCTAAAGGTAACATTGAGTTTCGGCATATATCTAAAAATGAGAATATAGAACTGAATATTTATAAAAGAAAAACACGCTAGTCAGAGAGCAAGATGAATGAGTCGTTGGTGAGAAAGAGAGAGAGAGAGAGAGACAGCGAGCGAGAAAAAAAGAAAAAAAAGAAACGTTGTGTTTGAGAGTGCGGCTTCTTCATCGTTCTTCTTCGGCACACACGCACATATATGTAGAGAGAGTTTAATAATGTAGTGCAGATTTTGCAATGATCAACGAGTGAACTAACTAGTCTTTCTTAAAAAAAGAAAAGAAGAATGTCGATGGTAAAAGAACATACCGTTTTGTCCAATTACAGGCTCGAATAAAAGACGAGCAACGTGGAAGAAGAACACACAAAGATCTGCAAACCGTGATGCAGAAAATTTTTATATATCTTGGTTGTTATGAATTTTTCCGCTATAGGTCTGTGTGTCTATTCTAACGCCATTTTTCTTTGTATTCACCTGAAATATACCCTTAAAATGGGCACATCAAATTGTCGTATTTATTTTTAGTAGAAACATAATATCGAGAATGGAGTCATTGTGATATGAAAGATTAACAATTCTATGGTTTTATCTAAGTCTCCATTTTTTCCTTCTTTGTATGCTTGACATAAGCGGAATGAAAAGAAAAGAAAAATGGCCAAAAATAGACACACAACTTAATGCATACCTTACAGTGAAGGCCAATCATTAGTTTTAATGTTTTGCTGTATATATATATATATTTCAAGTGCAGATTGATGTCGTTCGATATGCATAAGTGTATGTTTATGAATTTAATATGAGCTGCGTATGATCCAAATTCGATTGACTCGACTGCTTTTGTTTTGGTTATTTTTCCGCTATTTGCATCAATGTTGGTCTGCCCACTTGTCATACTCTTGAAAGTGTAAGTGTATCAGTAGTAAAAAAAAGGGACACATTTTATTCTCAAACTGTTCTACTCTATAGTCTCAAAGAAAAATAAACGTTTTGTTAATCGATTTTACACTAAACAAGCCAATACGTGCTCCTATTATAATTAGAAAAACGACGAAAAGGAATGAGAAGATATATATATATATATATATATGTAGACATATATACCTCACGTCAAGCAGTCGCTCTTATGCTTTCGTTAAATAGACTTGACAAAGAAAAAACAACAGCACATTGACATTTTCACAACATAATTGATGACATCACCTTTCATTTACTTTGATTCACATACATATGATGATTATTGACCACTCACATCCATATAGATAGGCTTGCTTATTTATTTGTACAAAAACAAAAAACGAAGCGTTAGACAAAAAGAAATGGATTCAAATACATATATGAAATGTTTAAACAGCTGTTCCACGTTCCAAATTTTGCTTGATTTCGGCTGTATATTTTCCGTAGTAACGTTCGATTTTCTTGTTAAATGCACGATTACGTTCATTGATATAATCGATATCAGCATCGATATCAAATGCACGACGACGAGAAAATTTGCCACGTTTTGAATACTGTAGTTCCAGATCTTCAACCATACGATTGACAGCCTTTTCATTTGGTTTATGTGAACCATGAATCAATGAACTTGATGTTGCATAATAATCTTCACCCCTACAAATGTAATAAATGTATACGTCTAGCTATGATAGATTTATCATATCGACGATAAACTTACAATTCTTCTTTTTGCTTATCGCATGCTTCCATATCAGGTTTTATTTGTGCAGTCAATTTTGTATACGCACGATAAGTACATTGTTCATAGTCTATAAATAAAAGTAGATGTTTAACTGATTTGTGTAACAAGAGAACATTATGAAGAGAAAAAAAATAAGTGAAAGTTTACATTTGATGTTATAATAAATTACTTGAGAACTATTAGCAAAACAGAGTATTGAAGGTCAATTAGTACTGAGTACATTTGAATAAAAAAAAGAATCTATTTAACTATTTCTTTTGCTTCAACAGAAAAAAAAATTTTTAATTCTTTTCCCAGACACATGCTTTTTCTATGACTCTGCTCATTTAAAGATTACATAACTCTTATTTTATCATACTTTCTATATGATTAGAAAGTGAATCACAGAGAAATATTTAACTTACTATCAAAGCCAACATCGGGATTCTTTTTCTTGCGTTTTTTCTCCCATTTGTCACAATCTTCGGCTGTCCAATCTAATTGTTCAACACGTTCATAATCAAGACCAGAATCAACAGCATCACGACGTCGTTTGGTTAGTTCATCTTGTTTCTTAATACGTTCACAACGACGTTCGAAATTTGTCGGTAAACTTTTTCGATGATCTTCTTCTATGACTTCAACATGATTTAATTTTCGAGCTTCATTCTATATTTCAATAAAAAGGATAAAATTGTTTTCAACGATAAAACGAAATAATAATGGGTGCATATTAGTAAATGGCCACTTTTTCTAAGTCATATGTGAATTATATTTAGTCCATTTTACTACAAATTCTGCAAAGAAAAGTGTAGTTTAAATTCAGTTTTTTTTTGTTAAACGAAAACTACTACTCGATGCGACGCACATGAGAGAGGTAACACAAATTAAAAGCTCAAGGTATTAAGTAGTTCTCAAGAATTATACTGAAATTATTCTTTGACACGCATAACATAAAAGTAAGTAACAGTTAGAGCATGGTAACTACGAGTACATACTTCTACTCAAGAGAAATCCTACACGTTTAACTCTCACGTTCGTCGATAGACAATTATATCTGTCAATAAGACAGTATAATAATGCTTTAGATAGATTAGGAAACATAGAGTCAATACGCTGACTATCCCGTACTGTTCATAGACAAGCAAAATTCTATTCTCAACACTTTGGTCTATTATGTATGAGACGTCATCTCCAATTATAAGTAAATGAAGTTAAAAGTCACGACTTTTTACTAGGAGATGAAATAATAGTGGCCATTCATTCATTCTTTCTAATACATACGCGTCGCAAATGAAGTTCTTTTAATCGTGCAAGTCGTTCAGTACGCTTAGTATCGACATTATTATTTGTAGGTTTATCTTCATCCATCTGAAACAGAAAAAAAATTTACATAACAATGAATTTTAGGCTTTTCTCATTTCTTGTTCTTCTTTATGTTTTAATATCTGAAATAGTTTATGATTTGTAAAAAGAGAAAAGTGTTTTTCTAGATCAGAGATGCACAATTGAATTAATGGCAACGATGGAGTTTTACAGATGGATACAGTTTGTAAATAACGTTGTATACATTCATCAATATTTTTTTGTTCCGGTTGTTCACGTTCAATAAAATCTTCAAAGGTAACAAGTAATTGTTCGAAGTAATTCGATGGAAAAAGATTTTTCTGAAGAATTATATTTTGATCTGAATGATTAACAACGATGGAAAATAAAAATGAAAGAATCGCTGTATGAAAATGATCAAGATGTAAGCATAATGACGACGATCCATATGAACGAAGAGGAAATAAAACATTTAAACGAATCATTGAAGGAATAAAGTTGAACAACGATGAATTACCTATTTAGAAAGAAAAAAATATATTAATTCTGACATTTCCTTTTGAACTGTCCAACATAAAATTTTTGCATCTATCATAGAACTTTTTATTCAACGATTATGATTTTAAAAGTCACAAGTCTTGATGATTCCTATGAGCTTGTTCAGTTCTAATCTTTGGATTTTGTTTTTACTGAACCCAATCTTTATATAGACATAGTTATGCCAATGGTAAGCTTATCACTAAAAAATCTCCCTAACTCTTACTCTCCTATACAGAATAGCTAATTACTTTGTGTAATAAATTCTTGTTGTAAAGTAGCAAGCAGAAGGTTGGTAGAATTTGTTAAACCATATGTAAGTAATTCAATCAATGTTTGAATGATTTTTGTGTCAACAATAAAATTTTCCTTATCTAATAATACACATGTTTGTTTAATAAAACATAATGTAAACAATGGCGATATTATACAAAGATTATTGGTTGATTTTGTTATTGCTAGTGCTATATGTTCATGTATAATGTATTCGATAATTTTTGTTAATAATGAATCGATGGTTTTCGATACTGTTAAGAACCATTGTGCGATTATTGTTAATGCTGGTTTCGATTCAAATGATATTGCAAGTGAAAGAAATTTTAAAAATAAATTATAGTAAAGTGTAAATAATGGATGATCGGGATCTGAGAGTATATCGAAAAAAATTGCATCGAAAACACGTGCTGAAATTGTTATATCTGATTGATTTTCTAGAAATTGTCTTAGTAGATCGAGTGTATGAAGTTCTTGAATATTATTTAATGTTTTTTTCCATACGGGCTGAGATGGATTCGTATTTGATGTTGAAAGTGAATGACAAAATAAAAAACGATTTGCTAACATAGTTAAATCTTTACGTGCAAACATTGAACATTCACGCATTGCAATCAATGCTGCTTCAACAGATGCCGGAAATGTGTGTTGATGTAATAATTGTGTAACCGTTTCAATAGTTAATTGTCCACTATCCATTATTAGAATATAGAAATATCTAAAACAAAGAGAGAGAGAGAGAGAGAGAAAATAGATAACAAATATTTTTAAACGGAAATAATAAACAATTGGTCGTCAGTTAGAATAAATGTTTGTTCATTTGTTGTTATAAGACCAAGAATTTCATTGTGATTCTCAAGTGATATCATATGTTGTTTAGCGATGCTATCAACAACTTTACCAGTTTTTCTATTGCGTAAAGATGTACCAGGAAGATTTGACGTAGGCGTATTTTGTTTGTAAATATATAAATGTGTACGTGTATCAGATATTAATGCATATGAATAGTCAGTTGGGGTAGAAATAAATTTACGGTTTTGTTTCGATGCTTGAACATAGCCGAATGCATTTAACGTTGCTTCATGAGTCCATGGCAATTGATCATTGGATGTTATTGAATTTATATGCCAAATAAGTCCGTCAACCTGAAATTAGAAATCATTGCTAAAGCAGGTTGTTACATGTTTTGAATAAAATGTCAAAGAATGTTCTATTCAGTGCACGGGCCAAGATCACTATATTATGCTTATATAATAGACGTCTGTATTCTCAAAGATCTTTGAAATTATGGATTAGAATAAGAGCGAAATTCTTTTTATTTTCTTCTAATGGGCCTTTCTATTCCTATTAGTACAGCTTAACAAACAATTGTAATCAGGTGAAATTCGATTAGTCTTCTGATTCTTTATTTTATCAGTAAATAACTTACATCATGACGAATACATAATGATGGTGGATTTAATTTTGTGAATAATATTTGATTATTGACCAATGCTTGATGCGTAACAGCATGTGTATCACCATCAAATCTTGATAGATAAACATCAGTATCATTTGAATATTGATCGCATTCTTCAAGTTGTTGGCTATTATATGGTTGTTTAAGTTCATCGGTTTCGTCGGTATTATTTGTTTCAGGTAGACCATTCATTTTAATATCACCTGACATAGATTTACCTTCTTTAAATATTTCGCTCCAAAATGAACCAACATTAGATTTTTGTAAGGTTATTGTTAATTGATTGCTTTTATCTTTTGTAATCACATATGAACTTTCTTTCGGATCAATGTTGTCGAAAAGTATAGCATCGATTAATATATCATCGTCTACAGAACATTTCAAATGATTCGATTCAATATTAACAGACCATTGTTGTGATTCGCTTGTTGTAATATCGATTTCTATTTCAATCATATTATGAGTTTGTGACCAAATATAATGATATGGTGATTCAATTTTTTCAACAACTGGTTCTTTGGGTGGTTCTTCTTTTTTAACCTATATAAAAATTCATTAAAACTATTATACTATTTGTATTGCAGTTAAGTCAGAGGCAAATTTTGATAATTTTTCTATGTCCCACAAGGATATCGAGAAAAAAAGGCTTTTATTATTAGGCGAGATTGCCATTGATAATGCAAGTAGCGCCGAACTATTTCAGGTCAACATAAAAATGGTAACAACTATATTTACCTCAATGAGTGAATCATATTTAAATGTATATAATCCTTCGGCAGCAACATACACACTGTGTCCATTAGATTCAATAGCTACAAAATCTGGCCATTTCTTTCCATTTAATATTCGTCGTCTAATTAATTTAATTTCACTCGATGATCCAATAGAAAATGTCGCCCATAGTAGTTGACATTCTGCTTGAATAAAGCCAATAATTGCATGTAAATATCCTTCACAACTAACAGCATGTATTAATCTTATAGGTGATGTTAAATATTCATCGAAATCTTCGTCATGTAAAAGTTTCCATTTTGGACTATTTGTATTTAAAACAGATAATTTTGAACGACCATCACATACAAAAACAAGTGAATCACTTATAAAAATCATTGATCCGTATAAACTAGTTTTTGGTAATTGATAAACAATTGTTGGCTGTTGCAAATGCGAAAAAGATTGATTAGACGTTAAATCTACTTGTTGAATGGAATGCATTTGATCAAAATAGTATAAATCATTATTATTAGGTTTCCATGAATTTATATAAAGTTGATTTAAAGATTTAAATCCTTTAATGCTATTATACGAATATAAATCATTGTCGAGTTCAATATCTTTTTGTGTGTGAATATTATTGTCAAATTTTATTGAATATTGAGCAAGTGGTTCTAGTGTTAAACGATAACCATCGAAATTTGAATTTAATAACTTTTGTTCTGGACGAAATTCACGCCATTCAGTCATGATTACTTTTTTTGCTTAGAATATTATCTGAAATAAGTCAAGAAAAAAAATGAAATAAGTTTCCTGGACGGAGCAACATTGTATCTTATCGTCACATGGGAACCGAAAATAAACAAACAAACAAACAAACAAACAATATGGTCTAATACAAAACACAGACAACAGGAACATAATAATAAAGACAAAAAAGCTATACAAGAAAGATTTTATTTTATTTTTTCAGTTGTTCATGTGGCTGTATGATTCGGCATGAATGACTCATCATCATCATCGTCATCGTCATCTTCTTGTTCATCATTAACAAGATCAAAACTTCGCTTATTTGATTTCACTTTGGTATAATATGAAGTCGAATAAGAACGACTCAATTGATGATTAATGTAGAGTGAATTACTTTGATTGGTAGATGTTGTTGATGGTAGCGGTGATGGATCTTGATAAGGTACACTTAACTGTTGTTGAAATGGTGTACGATTTGATGCTGTTGACATCGTAGAAGATGTTGAAAGTGATCGACCACTATTATTATTTGGGCCAGGTGCCATTCGATTAGCTAAATCATGAAGAAACAAAAGACGTGGATCTGCATAGATATGTTGTCGAATATGTTCGGGTGTTAAAGTTTTTGCTTGAAGTGACATTGTTATTGATGCTGTTTTCGTAATAAGTTCTTCGAGAAATTGTTCTAATGCACGAGCAGCAATCACCGGAACTGTTGCAGAAAGTTTACCGACCTAAAAGAACAAAAGTAAAAAATTCTTTCGTAAGAAGAAAATTTCGAAACAAGGAAAAAAATTACTTCTTCATCTTTTTGCATTAGCCGCTTTATTCGAGCGGGCAAAAATAATGTATTCGGCTTCTTACGATTTGGCATCAATCAGATCTTCAACTAGATATGAAAAATATTCGTACCACTGGTGTAAGAAAGACCGTACATCACTATATATTTGACGGAAGAGAATGAGAAAGAGATATTTTGTAACATGGAATAACCACTTGCAACGCTTTTTTCGGTATGAATGGTGGCGCTAGTTAGCAATTGGTTACATAGTATTTATCGATCGATAAAACATAATAGGGTGATTCCTTTTTTTTCAATGGTTTCTTTCGAACAACCAACTAGAAAATGACAGAATGGCACTCAAAGCATTAGATTACCGGAACATTTTACGAAGAAATAAAATTTAAAAGATTTAAATTATATCTCTCAGCCTGCGTATCTAAGTAGGTCATAGAAGAGGAAGAATCATACGTGTTGTCTAACCGCCGACCAATGATTATCATTCGAAGAGAAATCATTTCTTCGAAAACTTTGCCTTGTAACAACGTGTAGAACGGTACGTCTAAGTAATATCATCAATGATTCTAATAGATCATTGAGCATACTACATGACAAAGTCGATTACATTTTGATGTCTAATGGTATTTTGAATCTTATTAAGCATGACTAAAGATTAATCAAGATTGTTCGATGATTATTAAAACTAGTTAACAGTTTTGATTGAATATAATAAATATTTTCTTAGTAAAAAAATATTCTTTTCATAAAACCATTCTATTTGTTTTTCTGTGACAAAGCAAAACTTGTGCAAATAGAACGGTTCAGGGAAATTTGAATTGTTTACAAAAATTATCTATTTACATCTTTGAATCTAATTTTTAACCCGAAAAAAAAAGGAATAACATATTTAAAGATATCGTCTAATTAACATCAGTCAATGATTTCCATACTGAATACTTTGTGTTATTTCAGATTTCTATTAAGAAAGAGATTTGTCATCAAATGGTGCTCTCCCTTTCTCTCGTAGTTTTAGGGTTTTTTTGCAGTTCATTAGTTCTATGTAAAAGAGATGAACCTGTATGTTTTAAATCTACGGATAGCAGTGGAGCCTATCCATGTGAAAGTCGTCCAAGTAAAGAACCACTCAGTTTACAGTACAGCAAAGTACAAAGTTCGTCATTTTTGTTTTGTTGAATCAACAATGATCTTGATTATTTTATTTTTAAATAATTTAGTTAGTAAACCTGCACCATTCTTCGAAGGTATCGCTGTTATCAATGGAGAATTTAAAGAAGTTAATTTGAACGATTTCAAAGATAAATATCTCGTGCTCCTCTTCTATCCATTGGACTTGTAAGTTGAACTATATATACATGGATAATATCTTATTGGTGCGTTTTTTTTAAAATAATTATTAGTACGTTTGTATGTCCCACTGAAATCATCGCTTTTGCAGATCGTATTCAAGAATTTAAAGATATTAATACTGAAAGTATGCCGAAGTCATTTTTTTCTTTTTATACTCAACTAATATATATTCTATGTTGTTAGTTGTTGCAATCTCGGTCGATTCACAATTTACTCATTTGGGTACGAATTTGTTTTTTTCATCGTAAGACTTTTTGTAAATATTCTTTTATTGTTTACAGCCTGGTTAAATACACCGCGTGAACAAGGTGGCCTAGGAAAGATTCAAATTCCACTCTTGTCAGATTTAACACATCAAATTTCTAAAGATTATGGTGTATTTTTACAAGACGTCGGTCATGCATTGAGGTATGAATTGCAGAAAAATCAATCAGAGGTTTTGTTTTCCTACCATTTACTTGTTTTAAGAGGATTATTTATTATTGATGGCCGTGGTATTCTTCGTCAAATAACAATGAATGATCTCCCTGTTGGTCGATCAACTGATGAAACACTTCGACTTCTTCAAGCTTTTCAATATACTGATAAACATGGCGAAGGTAAATTTTCATTTGTTCTATAAATTCAGTACTAAATGTTTTGTTTTCTCCTTTCAGTATGTCCTGCTGGTTGGCGTCCAGGCTCAGACACAATTATTCCAAATCCAGAAGAGAAACTGAAATATTTCAGTAAAAATTATGAAACAAAAAAGAACTAAATTATTTGATTCTGTGCGACTATGATTTGCATTGCACAGATGCAACAGTTTGTTGAGAATGGAATCTGACAATCATACGTGCAATTGTTGTTGGTTGATTTTTCTTCTTCTTATTTGTTCTTGAGGGTTTTACTTTAGTCTCGTATATAGTCGGTAATAAAAACATCGTTTTCGCGTTCTTTTGTTCATTTTAATGGATACTTTGCCTTAAGGTTCAAAACAAACGTGTGGTATGATTTTGGCCAATTGGATTTATCTTTAGGAAAAGCAATAATATTGAATGAAAAAGAAGGGTGCAAAATTTAACAAAAAAAAATCATTAGATTTGAGTATGTTCGAATCATGCGAATCGAAAATCCTAAAGGATAATTTTGACAAATAAATATTGAAGAGGCTAAAATTTAATCTTAATGAAATAAGTGAATGTTAAACTTCGGCAATAAACCTATATAATGCAATAGTGCAGGCACTGCAAGGATGTTGTGTTCATGTTATAGTAAAGAAAACTGATTTCAGTAAACATCTGTTTTTTTTATTGTTATGTATAAGTAACATGCTTCTAGAATAATAAAGTCACATTTTATTTAAATAAAGGTGTTTTGCCATCTGAATAGGATACGTAACAAATCATCGTTATTTTTTAAGAACGCAAAGGGTTGAATAAAAGTTAGTCAAACCTTGAAAGGAGTTTATTGATGTATTTGTTTATTTATATGTAACGTGATTAAATGAAATTAAACCACAGATTGTCGAAGAACCGGATTAGAATTTGGATTGTTTCCATGTTCTGTCACGAATGGACTTAATTTATTAAATCGTTGTGAAATCATCGTTTGATCTTGATTTGGAAGTTTATCTACAAGAAATCGATAGCCTGGCGCTGTTTTCATACGAATTGTTTTCGATGGGTCAGCACGAGGCGAAGCAACAGAACCGACTGCGAAAGAAAAAAAACAAAGGAAAGCTTAAGTTTCTATATATAGAAGTGAATTTATATTTAGTTTTACGTCGTTCTTTTAAAACTCTTGTTACATTATTTGGCAATGGTTGTTTCATTCGAAGCGATTGATAACGCTGACTTTCGAGCGAATCATAAGATAAAATACGATGATCAATTTCTTTTGAAAGCCGTGCCGATATATTTCCTTCGTAGCGATAAAGTGGATCGTTATTAACTCGATAAGAGTCGAGTGATGGTGTTGATAAAATCAAATCACCTGAATATAGAAAATCAAATTGTATTATTAGGTTTTTTTCTTCATCGGCTAAGAGAGTCGAACGATTTTCAACTTCTTCTCTACAATTTTATTCACGAAAATGAATCAAGAAATCGCTTTTATTTCTTGAACTCTACGCTTTTTCAGAGTTAATTACAAATAGAATTTATTAAATTTTTTTAAACATTACCAGTTGCATTGATATGAAGACCAGTATATGGCTTGACATGACTTGGATCCAAATTCTTTGAAAATAGTACCGCTCGTATCGAATCGACATTCGCCATTCGTTGATGATTGTCTCTGTTTCGCTTCTGTGTTACTAAATGTTTTTGTCACTATGAATGTACACGAGTCGATGTCGTGTTGTTGAAAGAGATCTGGCCACTTGCCGTTATGATGTGTCGATAAGATTTTCTTTCAATTCTTTTTATGGAGAACAACATACAACTGAGAAAAAGAGAAAGAAAAGAAAGGTAATTTGTGGTCGACTACTACAAAATCTGGCAACATCTGTGTGCATGCATGCCGATTAGTTACCGAACACTACACAACATCATTCGGAAAGAAAAATTTCTAAAGAAATATATGTTATGTTTACTTGTTTTACATGTAAATATTTATTTGCTAAATATAATCTGCTGCAAAACTTTTAATATATTTCTCTTCTCGATCTCAATAAGACTGAAAAATTTTGAAAACCCAAAAAGCGTAGGAAAATAATTCATAGTTTATGTTGATGACATCGAATGAAGAAAGAACATTCTCGATGTCACATCATATATGACATTTGTTTTAGAAACTTGTGAATGAAATTACCCGTGTAATTATTCTATGTAATACAAGATCGAATTAGTATGCGTTTAAATGCATATCGAAGTTATTATTGCAAGTAAATTCGATGATCATAGACATACGAAATAACTTCAAAGCAGTATTTATTTTTGTTTTATAAAATAATTATTTTTCGTCTTTGACAAAGGTATTTTTCATGTATCGAGATCGTTTATTAGAAATCGTTATTTCTGTACTATTGGACCACTTCAACATACATTATTTATTTTTTCTCTTGAATGAAAGATCACTTGAATTCAATCGAAAAAACTGTTTCAAAAAGAAACACTTCAACTTTATTTTATTTTTTCAAATAAAATGTGAAAATCTTCAAGTCCACCATTGCAATGAATCAAACCGATCGCCCACTGAAGTTTATCCTGTATAAATATTAAACTCTATCAGCATACAGAAACTGTAATATTCACTTGAAGTTTTGCTAACGTCATCATGTCACATGATTATTTCTAGCGAAATACTACCAAAAAATTTACTAAAGTAACTACACCATAAATTACTCATTGTCGGTAGTAGAGAATCATTTTTACGATTCTTCCTCAAATTTTTTTTTTCTCTACCAATCATCAAATCCTTTTGTATACAACAGAACACAGCATAACATGTATCAATCTAAGTCTTCTAAAAGCTATTGTGCCGGAGTTCGACCTTCTTATGTTAGCAGTAGTGGATATATTTTCATCTTCTGATCGTATTTGCCGGAGGTATGACGAATTACTAGTTGAATCAATGTTTTGTTTGGAATTATTTTGAAAGACGTATGACTCATTGCCACTGGCGACTGTTTACGAATGAAAAATGTCAAAAAAACATCACTCATAAAATAATCAATGTAGATTTGACATTTCTGATATACCTAATGATGTTACTCAAACATAATTTAATATCCAACACTAGTTGCTTATGATGATTACGAACAGTCAATTTGTATTGGCTTTAATTTCTATACCGTTTTTTTGTAGCATTTCAAGTGGTTGAAATGGGATTCACTTGAACCTAAATTCTTACATTGAGTGTTCGATAAAAATTATTAATACAAAAATAGTATTATTGATTCATATGAATTATTAGTTAAGAATCAAAATGTAAATCAGTGATACCATACTTTAACAAGCAGATTCTTCAAGAATCAATCTACAAAGAATACGTTTTTATAGTAAAATAAACGCATACTAGTCGAACTCAAAAGTTAAAAATAGTAGAAAATTATGCATATAAACTACGATGAAAATTAATAGCTAAGATCCTCATTATGTTAATGGCTTACAATATTGTCTATGCACGAGTTTCATAGAATTTAAACAAGTTGATTTATTTATAATTTATCTGATCCTTTTACAATTGCTGAACAAGACTAAGAAACATTATTATATTATTTAAAAGGTTAAACAAGCATTTATGAACATTATTATCAATTAGAAATGATTATCGGATGAATCAATAAATATCTAGTTAGTATTTTTGTGCATTCAATGTGACCAATAATCCTATGCTGATGTTTGGTGCAATCGCGAAACTCGTATCTAATTGATAAAAGCATTTTTACATCAAATATTTATTTTTGTAGACCAAACTATTAACAATACAATTTTATTTTGATCTGTTTTTCTTGTCAATTGAATGTGGTATTCGTTTGAGATGACACTAACTTGAACAATCTGTTTCCCGAAGATAAAATGAATTTTAGTATCTCTTCATCTACAACATGCTCCAGCTCGTATATCACGTTCTTTATAGCTCAATGGTTGTTGTGTTTTATTGCTTTGACTCTGATGCACTTTTCTATGAAAACAAATAGTCGAAAGTTTTTAGAATAACATATTTGACACATAGCTAAGGACTCTATACATTATAATTCAGAATTCAATTGAAAAAATGATTAGAAAACGTTTTTTGCATCAGATTTCTTTTTGAAAGTCGTTACTTTTTAACTTCTATTTTGACTCCCCAATCCGAATCAAATAACCAACAATTCAGCACTTATAAATGTTTCTTTGTACTCAAACACTTTAATTAAATTCTAGTTTTTGTTTTTATTTATCAACTCTCTCACAATCATGTATCACGGTGAGTATTTTTCAACATACTTCTATTTCGGCATGAGTTTGACTTAGTCTAACACGTTGTTGACGTAAAATCTCAGAAACAAAGTTTTAATGGCACTTGTTCGAATTTACTTCGCTTTACATGAGTTGAAAATGAACCATACTAGATTAGGAGTCGATAATGTCGGGTGTAAATAAGTTATAAAATCATCTGATAAAACTATGGCTGATGCAAGAGCTGAACTTAGTGCTGGTAACGCCATCAATCACCACCAACAAGCTATGCCAATAAAGGTAGAGATAGTGAACAGAGACATAGATCGAAAATGAGAAAGAATCAATTCAAATTGTCATTCGATATGTTAAATACTAATTTACTCTCGGCAGTACTAAACTATAGAAGGTTATTCGTTCATGTGACGTCAAAATAAAACAATGCAAAAACGGATTATATTTCTAAATTGACCCAGCCGCTATATATATATATATATATATAATTAAGACACGTAAAAGAAAATGAAAGACACGCAATGCAATACGTAGCTATTGCGAGAATAATATTACCTTTTTTTTACTTGTTTTGTCTTTCTATTTTCTATAAATTATTTATCGATGAGAACTGAACGAAGAATCTTCAATTTTTGTGATATTATCGAGTCCTTGAAAGCAGATTTTGACAGCATAAAAAATTCTGTTCATTGAATTCCTCAATTATTAACAATTTGTTTTTAATGAAAAACGTAGCGGAATATTTTAGATTTTTGAGAAATATTTTTTAACGAGAGCTTTGAATGACTGAAAAAAATAAACAACAAGAAAAATCACCTATCTAGTATCGAATAAAGCTTTTTGTTGGTAGATATCTGTATCATTTTTTTCCCAAAGATAATTGTATTTGTGAAAGTTTTGTTCATCTACTATTGTCGAAATAATGAACATAAAAGCACTATAATGCCACTAGAGACTTTATCGATCATCGTGAAACATGAAGACTTTAATATAATCAATTTTAGCATAGAAATTCACAAATGTTGAAATTAAATCGTATATAAATACAACCAAGATTATCGTAGAATAGTGATATCGCGATGCTTCGTATGGCATCACTGGTTTTAAATTTTGCCTGCTAAGAAACATCATTGATTATTTCACTAAGTGTATAAAAAATTAGAATTTGTTTGAGACGATGATCGTTTATTTACTAAACAATATCTGTATCCAAAAACATACAATTTGTGTCGTCAAAGACGAGGATGCAATAAAATGCATGTTTATACTACACAGATGGGTACTGAAGCGATACGATTTATACCTGCATTTTGTATTTTCTACACTTCGCTTTCAGGTGCGTCATAGTTCGACGATTTGTAGAGCAGCAAGCTGAAAAAAAGTATCTTGTAAGGATGCATATTTTCTGAAGATGATTTTATCATCACCTACAGTTAATAAATAAAACGTTGGAGCGTTTTTATTGTTGACAAATATCAAAAGAAAAATAACGCTTCATTCGATTATTTAATGTATGACTTGGATTTTGCTCACGCCAAGAGATAGGATCAGTTCAATTAATTAACAAATCAGTACAGGCTTTTATTAGAATCGATAATTGTACCCATGAGTAAGTATAATGTTTACATTTTCTTACCTGTACTCGCAACCATCAGCATTTGAAACAAATGATCCGTGATACGATGAAAGCTTTTCTCAAATTATAGTTGAAGTAACGAACTATTTCTTATTCAACATCCGAAAATACGACGAATGTCAAGATTATATTCTTGTTTATCGAACTGGAGATTTGTTAAAGTAAGAAATTAACTACCACCAATCATATTACAATCTGTGTGTATGCATACTTTTCACTAGATATAGATATGAAAAAGAATAAATGTAAGATTCCAATCGAGCGATAGATTCACACGTGTAAAGTCGTCTTTCTTGAGTTTTTTTGTATCAGCTAACTAAAGTGAATCTTGGATCGGAATCCGTAAACTTCTTCTTATTAAAATTCATCTACAAAGTCAAATATCTCTACGTATATTAATATTTTTATATTTATTTTTGTTTTCTAGAGATTGAAAATCCCATTGGTTATTTTTGGTCTAGCAATCCTAATAGGGCTGGGTGTTCTAGGATTTATCACAATAATTGTGCTGAGCTTGAATCGATTGTACTTAGCAAATGCACCATCAAATATCATCGTAGACCAATATAATGGTTAGTCGACGCTGTCATTATGCATAATAGAAAATCTTCATAACGCTTGAAATTCTATCATATCCATAAGTAGAGGTTATTGTTTTGTTTTAACGTGTAAAAACACAGACGTTGAAAGAAAAACTAACTCGTAGCATCTCACTGGTTCAGATTAAAGGAAAAGAAAAACTGGAAAAAAAGAAAGCTTTCAACCAGATAGTTAATTTGCTCTTGTCAGGAAAACTCTATTGGAGAAGCATCATTTCTCTTTTTTTTGGCAGAACAACATAAATGAGAACTATTTCATCTACTTTTTTTCTTCAAAATTTGCGAGTTCAAAAACGCTTTCTTTATCTTCAAAAGAACACACACGGACTTGCTATTCAGGTGAAGGTAAAGGTAAACCCATGAGTGACGGGCAAATAACAAACTATAAGTTTAATATAGCTCTAGTTTTCACTGTTTTGTTCTTGTAGAGTTGAATCTACTTAATAAGTAGAAATTAAAAAATTCTGGATAGTTATTATTTCGGAATTCATAAGTCATATGATAAACTGAAGCAATTACTTTTCGGCATTTCTCTTTTAAAGCATATCCAGCTGTACTCTACGTTTGGTCCGGACAAGATAGAAGTGTATCGAATGCAGCTGATTTTGTTGCCGTAGTGGATTTCGATGAAACTTCTACATCCTATGGGCATATTTTAAAGTATGTGCCGCTTGTTTCAGACTCTTCGAAGAGTATCGGACAAGCAGGAAACGGGCCACATCATTCCAGCATTTCTTCCGATGGAAAATATTTTATTACTGGAGGTTTACTCAGTTTTCTCTTGAAACAAAAAGAAGTATTTGTTTGGGGCGTTCCATCGAACCCTGCCAATGGACCCGAGTTCTTATACGCACTGGATGTACCAGGTGGTTGTCCAGGCGAATTTTTACCTATAGGTCATGCCAAGTTTATTGTCAGTATGATGTGTAGCGAAAGTGCAGTTAGTCCTGGTGATATGACTTTTATTGATGCTAGTACAGGCGTCTTCCAATCGTTGTCGAAAGGTAAATCTGCATTTCAAAATTTTAACCCTCGTGGATTTGGTCGAGTCGAAAGTGGATCAAACTCTACTGCTGATTACATCGAAGCCCTATCATTGACTGGTACTGATGCGCCAAAAATTAGTTTTCGAAATACAGTTCGATATATTTTGCCCGATGGAAGTTTAGCACGGGCTTTTAATTTCGATGCTCCTATAGAAGTAAGTACGACGAGTGGAGTCGGACAAGGCATTGGTTTCATGGAACTGAAAAAAATTCCAAATGATCCACTCGACCGTTCCTTCGCGCATGGAAACAATACAAATAAGTTGTACTTGTTGGGACCAGGAATATCTGAACCGAAGCTTGTTTATGATCTTTCTCAAGTGAGTGGTCATAAGAAAGCATTTGGCGCAGGAATAACATCAATATTTCTCAATGGTAAGCGTTTGTTGATGGCATTTCAAATGAGATATATTATTTTACTTGATATTACAAAACCTGAGACTCCATCAATTCTTCGAACATTTGATTTCTGTTCCGATAAGTCGCTTAAGAATGAACTCCTTCAAGTTTCAAGTAGCAATCAAACGATAACGTTTCGACAATTCTGCGCACAAAATAAGAATAAGGCTGGTTCTCATGTTCTCGTTCATCCTAAAGGTGAAAGTCGATTTATCGTTATTAATTATTTTCTTAAAGTCGGGTTCGCACAATTTAATGGTACTCGAACAGTACATGCATTTAAATTGAACAAAAAACTAACAAATTTTGAGTATGCCTCTCGATTTAATCCAAACTTTCAATTCGACTCGCCATCGGCACCAGTACGTTCGACACTTTATTCTCTCAAGGCTTATCCACATCATTCTCAATACATAAAATTATAGACAATAGCGGTTAACTTCACTCGTTCGATAACTCTCACTTCAACATTTGTATTTCTTATTTCTAGTTGACTTGAAACTCATCGCGCTCTTTTTATCGAAAATGTTTATCTGTATTTCCCTATAGCTGCAAGACCTATGTAGCTATGTTTTTGTTGTTGTAATTTTAAATTCTCTTTATTATCAATCAATAAATAGAACTAGTTCACATTATTGAGAATTGATAAAGAATCAAGTATTAAATCTTCTTGCAGTTGTATACCAAACGGTATAGAGATTTTAGTGTTTGAAGAAATAATTTCAAAAAAAACGTGCCTTCTATATTAGTATAACAATGTGAATTGAAGCAATATATTTTTATCGTCGTAAACTATACTCATCGTTGCTCGTAATCGAATAGATTGCATTCTTTTCGTTTCTTTTTATGAACATATAAATCTAAGGTTTAATAAGATAAAACAATTTGAAAAAGTATGTTGGTCAACATCTTACATTGTTTTGTCATCATTAACAAATAAATCCTATGAATGTATTTTACCTTTTCTTTCACTTTCTATTTTCTAAATTGAATATTTAAACAAAACATCCTTGAACTTCTCGGCTCAAGAATTTCTAAAAATGTCATTATCTTACTAAACAACAAATAAAAAGAAAGAGAGAGAGAGAGAGAGAGAGAATAAAATTTATACTATTTTAAATTTCTCTTATTTCTATTTGTTACACGACGAACTTTAAGTGGAGGGAGATTCTCTATACACGTGCAAATTGAGATGCGAAGGACAATCAATCAAAATGAAGAACTAAGGATTAGTAATAACGAAAAATTGCATAGTTAGTAAAACAAAGAAGAGAAGAAAAACAGATCAGACAACGATTGGGTGTATTTTACACGATGATGACAATACAGCCAAAACAAAATGCAGCGCTTAAATGGATCTTAAGAATTATCGGTTTTATTTGGATGTTTCTTACGGCTTGTTTCGCCATTCTTAATATATTCGTATTTGTTCAACCACAATGGATTGGTGATACTCTAGCAAGTCCACGCGCTGGCCATTTCGGTCTATATTCATATTGTATAAGTACAATCACAGATTTTGAATTCGATTGTCAAGGAGCATGGACTAATTTTGGAACAATTCTTAATGTACCATTTGCTATCGCAACATTTTTTGTTGGCTTCTCTGCACTACTTATTCTTTTATGTCTTGTATTGTTTATACTGTTCATATTCGTCCGTCCACGTTTGGTCTATTTCATAGCTGCAATAATACAATTTATTTGTTCGATTTGTTTACTGATTGCTCTTATAGTTTATCCGTTCGGTTTTGATAGTGAAAAAATTCGAATAGTATGTGGTTCTAATGTCAATGATTTTAATCTTGGTACGTGTCAAATTCGTTGGGCATATATATTAGCTGTAATTGCATTATTTAATGTATCGGTACTTGCATTACTTGGATTTTTTCTTGGTATGAAACAACCAAAACATGAAACTATGAGAGAAGTTATTAATCCAAATCATGCGATATCGAAATATGGTGAACTTCATGAAGCTATGGAAGATCGAACGTTTTCTGAGCAAACAATTCCAACAACTTTACAACGACGTTGATCTTCGTCTTAATTGGACTTTCTTTTTATTCCGAATCAGATAGATAGGCTTATCACATCTATATTTTGTTTGAATTTGAAATAATCTTATAACTAGAGAAAATAAAAGTGAAATTCTTAATTTCAAATATGTTTTTTTACTATAACGACGACTGATGATAATCGAACTTGTTTGAGTCACAAATTAGATAAAGTGAGTACAGAGAAAAATTCGATTTCGGTGAATAACAAATGTCCAGGGAAAGAGGTGATATTTCGCATATATATATATATATATGCTATCAGTGTTGACAATAACAATCGGCAATTGTCTATATTTTTTTCTTCTTCTTTTCTTTATGTTGTCGTCAGTCATTGTATTTTCCTCACACACACACACACACACGCATGAATATGCATCTATTCGATAAATTGCGAGCAAGCTTTCGACGAAAACCAAATGTAAGTTCAATTAGATCATTGCTTTTATTTTTGAGCTATTTAATTTTGAAATTATTAGAAAATTGAATTGTCATTATCACAACAAATTGAAAATTTACTTAGTCAATCGAATGATTCACATGGGGACCACCGTTTACTTTTACTTCGTTTAGTTTATGAACATCGATCACGACAATTTGATGCATTAAATGTACCTTCGAATGATTCAAAACGTGTTGAATTTGAAAGATCAATGCTCAAAAGTCTTCTTGCAATTACATCTTCATCATCAGTAAGAGAAAAGTCACAATCGAACTTTCAACGATCTTCACGTTTATATAAATCTATGCCAATGGCGACCTCTGTACATATGTCAAAACGAAGAAATTGACGCAAATAATTCAGAACTTTTTCCTTGGCGATAAGCATTTGTTATAGAAATCGTTGTAACTGTTCGCGGTTATTGTATTTATTATTTCTAATATATATTATATATCGCCAAATATTGATTGGCTGTCTGAAGTCTATCAATCATTGCTACCATAACGAACGAAAAAAAAAAGCAACGAAAGACAAGACTTTTCGGTGAACGAATATTTGAAATGAATAGTTCATTGAGATATCTATTTATTTAAACACACACATATATATATATTTGCATACGTTTTAGATGAGAACCATGGATATGGTGAGATCGAAGAAATGATGATTACCTTTGTCTTTTTTAAGTGTAATTTGATTTTAAAAATAGGGTTTGCCAACAATAATTATAGAATTAGGTCAACAACGGCAACGCATTAAATTAAATAAAGTTTATTTTACTTTACAAGAATTAATCGAATTATTTTCTCAAGTATTTCAAATGAAATTCGATTTACAAACATATGAAATTTTATTATCTCATAAACGACTCGATTCTATGACAAGTATTGATTTTACTCAATATAATAATTATCAACGTTTTAAAATACAATTGAAAAATAATCGAACAACAGAATTGTCAAATACAATATATAGTGATAAAAATGAAATAGTAATACAAAAAAAATATTTTTTAGAAATCTATGATCGATATTTTCTTTTTCTAGGCTTCATTAAAACAACGATTGAATATAGTATCAAATGAAATACAAAATATTGCTCGTTTGTATCTTCTTTTTATGAAAACCATTTTAACAAATTTCATTTTCTTTCTAGTTCTTATCAATTCTATTCATAGAAACTATAGAAATATTATCACGGTAAGACTTTTAAACAGAAGAACTTCTCTTCACCGAATTGATTTTAGACACTTACTGATGAAGACAACCAACAAGATACGCCATTGAACACAACAGCATCAAATGAGTATTTCAAAGAAAATCGACTACATCATGATCTTACTGCTCCACCTGGTTTTAAACCATTACCAAACCATCGACCATTAAATGCATCTTCACTAGATTCTCAAAGCACCGATGAAGGTATCGATCGTGACGCTGGAAGTCTATCAGTGTTTGAATCAGCTCATAGTGACCATGAATATGAAAGTGTTTATTTCGAATGCCGTGAAGATTCAACACTTGTTAATCAACCAAATTCAATAATGATAAATAATAATAGTAAACCTGAATGGCGTAATCAATCATACAATCCTCGTTCTCGTTCTCATTGGAATATTAATAAAGTCAAATATCAGAAAAATTATAATCAAGAACAATTTGGTGAAAAGCCTCGTTTGAAAAAACCAATCAATCTAAATAAAGTGCCATTACCGGTCGAAAAGAAAAAGAACAGTACGTGTATAAATATTGACGTTTATCTATTTATTGATTTATTGTAGTTCCATGCAAATATGCAGCTGGTGGCAATTGCAAGTAAGACTTTAAGAAAAATATGTTAATGAAATTATTTCTTTTGCGTTTATTTTAGACGAGGTAAATCATCAAAATCAGAAGTAATCTTGAAATATTGTTTCAAATTTATTTAGGAAGTCAATGTCGATTTATTCATGTTGTTTAACGACTGTTTTTTATCTTTCAAATCTTCCTACTGCATGGTTTTATCCTTGCTGTTATTAATTGTATATCAATATCTTGCTGCGTTCATTTCGATACATTCCGTTTCGTTTTTTCTTCTATAATTTTTATTGCGCTTACAGCTGTGCTTTCTACAAATTTGGAGTACGGCTAGTATTCTTTTTTATCTAGTAGTGCTCGACGTTATTATTAGTGCTGACTCTTTTTTAACTTTCAATTGAACTGTATACGTTCTTTAAACCGAAAATCGGGATGGTTCTTTCTTGTTATTATGAATAAAAAAAGATGAGTTTTGCTTACTATTGTTATTTGTTTATTTTAATTTAGATAAGTATAGAGAATATGAACACGAGAAGTATCGAATTAATGTCAAGTCGAGGTCATAAAGGTTCTAATGAGAAATGAAGACCCTGAAAAGACTTCGGATTCGAAGGTTATTGCGGTGGAGATACCGTATTTTTCTTTAATGAATGTCGCGGCTCATCTACAGAACAACAAGGAAACTGATCTATGGATTGTGAGTTAATGATAATATCCTATCAGGAAATCTACCCTAGAATTGAGCCTGTTTGAGTAAATGAAAAATTCTCTTTTCGGCTTGGAGTGATGATAAGATCAAAAAATTCAACAATTAATTTTCTTGAGGAGAAACACTTCAATAGGCTGAAATTATCGGATCCCTACAAAAAGTACGATAAACATGTACGCTCGGAGTAAATCAATCAGGTGAGTTCACTCTTTCAACAACAAAAAAGGGATTTATATCTTTAACCTGTAAGAAATTAGTATAATCAAATTTCACTAATAGGCTAAATTTCTATTGATAGAATCAGAAGTTTAAATTCATTCGACAGTACCTTGATAATGAAATACATGAAAAAATAGGTTTACTGCTGTATTGTTTCTTTATTTAAATTTTATACATAAATACGATTATTAAATAGGCATTCTTATTCTATTAAAAACTATAACACGATGAATCATTTTGTCTATCCAATATCTCTCAGTCAAATTTCTCTTTCTTTTTTATTTCAGATCAAAACAATGGTACATCTATTTTTTTCTACATTTTCGTTTTTTTAATTTTTTCTTTATTTCACTCAGTCCGAAACATGGATCATTGTCGAGTTTGGTGCACGATGTCAACGCGCGTCATTAAATGATCGTCTGATATCAACTTCAAAACTTTTGCAGTTGATTAGTAATCATTTTGGTATTAAGCTCGATCATAAATCTCTATATACATTACAAATGTATGATAAAAGATTTAACGAATATATTTCACTTACTGATGACAGGCAAATATTAGATCTGTCTAAAGATAGTGAACAATTCTATCGTTTTCGAATTATTAACAAATCTTTTTCATCGCAAGTAGGATGATAATTTTTTTGTGTATAATTTTGTTGAAAATAGAAATCTATTTATAGAAATATCATCTTTTGAATAATCTCCAATCCACCATGGGAAATCTTCAGTGTGCAAACAGAGATATCGATACGCTACAAAGTTTGCTAAAAATTAAGAAAAAGAAAAATTGAGTATTTATTTTTTTAAATTCATTTAGAACTTCTTGGTGAACTCAAGCATAGTTCTGACACTCTCAATCAAGTATGAAAACGAGTCAGTTGTTTGTAGTATTTAGCTTTCTATGTAGTTATGTTAGATTAAAAAATTCGTTTGTTCATCGCTTTTTGTTTTTTAAAACGAAATTTAGTCAACTCAACAAAAAACTAGTTTCATTTCTTCAGTTCATGGAAACACAATGTGTGCAATCATCTATCAATCAATCTTCTTCTGCTTCGCCTTATCTGATAGATCCTGTACGTACGAATCATTAAAATCTCTGATCTATGTTGCTTTGTTTTCGCTAGTCAACTATGGAGAAACATATTGAAGTTGCAGAAGAACACAATTTAGATGAAGACAATTTGGACAGTGTTTCATGTTATGATAGCAGCTCGATTTACAATAAATCTTCTTCGCCTGCAATGCCAACTTTAATAAATTCGAATAAGCAAAAACCATCGAAAACTTTTAATAATAATAATAATAATATTCAAACACGTATTATTCCCTGTAAATATGCTGTTAGAGGGAACTGTCGTTTGGGTGATAAATGTTTATATTTACATGATGGTAAATAATGATGTTTATGTTTTCTTTTGATTTATAGTTTATTTTTATCTATTTCCAGAAGAGTGTATTCAATCGGCACGTGAATGGGAGCGACGCTTGTAAAAACTTCATGTACTTTTAATTTTCTAACTGTATTTAATATGATGTCAATATATTCATATTCAATAAACATTTTTGTTACGAAGTTATATTGTCTACACTTTCGTATCTGTAGCCACCTTTAATCATATAGGAAGTTTTCACATACTTTGTAATCAGAGAATTTTGAATAGTAAAATAAATGAAATATTTATTAAAATATCCATCAAGATGTTTCGCCAATGCTTTAACATGGGCCTAAATTGAGTAGCAAGGAAATCGAACGCAATAATACATTCCTATTGGCGGCACCGTTGTACCTGTACTTTTCCAAGGCATTAGTTAAACGGAAATTGTTCGTTCACAAAACATGTATCAGTATAGTACAATAGCAAGTATTCATGAATATAGATTGAGACGATCGATAGGAAAATATGATATAGTTTAAATTTTAAAACGTATATAGACCAAAAGAAACAGGACCGATGGAAACGATTTGTCTATGTGAGATTAAATTTATTTTAGTTTAATTCGTTAACTTTTTATCCGAATGAAAAGAATTTATCGGTGTCTATTTCTTGAAACTATCCCAATTCTAATACAGCATGAAAATTTGAGCTGGAAAGTATTTTAAGATTCAGCAACTTGCTATTGAAGTTTGCTGAGAGACTGAATTGATGAATCTCAACTCTGATCATTATGATATATTACCAGTGTTTATACAGACTCTTGCAAAAAGAAATGTAATCAAAAAGTCAAAACATTATGATAATTGATATACGCGCTCTACAGTATTCTCATTTCGAATTTCCGATCATTGATTAAATTCATTGTATACTATTAAGTGCATCTTCACAGCAGACATTCTTTTCTTCTACTGATAATATCCATTGCATACGACATGGGAATCAGTAAGTGTCACTTTATTCTTCGTTTCATTGATTCAATCACCGTATATTAGCATGGTATACATATTAATTTCCGTGTTCAGTAAGCTTTCGAACATAAAATCCTTCTTCGAGAGAAATCTTAGAGGGATAGAATACTCCGGAATATTCTAACATGATTTCAACGCCTTTATAAACGAGAAGAGGATTTTTCCTATTGCGAAAATGTTATTTCTGTTTTAATCTGGATAGACTTGCAAATATTATTAGAAATACAGAAATATTCTAATATTTTACTACTCTTATTAAAGTATTGATCAACAGAGAACGAACTATTTTCAGATCTGTTCATACTAAATTAAAAATTTATTTACATTGTCGTCAAAATCATTTTATCAAATTCATATAGGCGTTGAATTCATCAATCGCCACATATTTCTCAATGCGAACTAGCAATATTTGCATAAATCGATGGTATCAACTTTAGTTGTATGAATTTGGTAGTGGAAAAGCTCAAGACACGCAATCAATCACTTTTTTTTGCCTATAAAAAAGATATCTTTTCGAGATTGTGAAGCAAAAAAAACATTGGTGAAACAGAAAGTCATTGTAGAGCTGAGAATCTGTCGGAAATTTAACACTGTATGAGAAATATAAACAAAAGTATTGATTCAAGGATAATTATGAACATCAATCTTATTCGGCAATGTGTCAATTATGACACGTAATTCTAATTGATGCATGAATCGACGATAGACTAATTATCTTTCACAATTCAATCTAGTAGTACATTCTCACTTAATAAACAGATATTAGAAAAAAACAGCAGCAATTCACAATTACCATCTAATAGAATAAAAATCAGCATTGAATTTTTCTTCGGACGAAGCATTTCAAAACACTTGAATGCATGTAATGTACTTTTTGTATGATAAAGTACAAGTAGTAAAAATTTGATCGTTCAAAACGACTCCCCGATTCTGTAGAATTACCGAATCATTTTCCCAAATTCTATGATGATATAATTGTCGAAGAATTTCATATAGCTATATGTTATAGATTCTCCAGGTTAAAATGTTTATTCTCTATAGACAAGTGCAATTTAAAACGTGATCTATATATTTTTCTCATGCGCGATAGAGAATGAAAGAAAACAAATAGCTAAGAGAACAGATAGATAAAATGGATGCCAAAATATATGTTAGTGCATTAGATGTTTCGTCGACCATTTCTTTATAATTATATATTTTTTACTTTTCTTAAAACATCATTTTTCTTCACAGATAACATCGTTTCATCGTCGAGAAAATGCTGCCGACAATCATGAAGTTCGAATACGAAAGAGTATGTATCCATAAAAAATAATAACCCTTAAAAACTAATCTCACAGCTACATTTTCTTTCTTTTTTTAAACAAATAGCAAAATAAAGAAAATTATCAGTACATCCCGTTACAAGTAATCGTTGATGATGAAGAAAATTCATCTGATGATTGTTTTATTATCGAATCGAGTGACCCAACCACTCCCTCGTTATCGCGCAACGATGTTAGTTTAAAAAAAACTAAATCAGTATATCATAGAATGCAACCTAATCTTCTTTTCATTTTAGCCAAATTTTCATTTATTACTTACAAATGCATTACCGCATACTTTGTCAAGACGTACAAATCTTCTACTTATCTATGAAAATCGAACACTTGATGTTCAAATTGTTGATCCTGTTGTTAACCTTGAGAAGCAAGAACGTCTCACGGTAAAATCAAATGAAAACTATCCACCTCTCACTTTCGTTTGACTCGATAAGGATTATTTTTTGTCAGAGTATGTACACATGTAAAAATATTTGCTGATTCAAATAATTATTAACCAATAAGGAATCAACGAGTATCTCTCGGACTGTTCAACACTAACTGGATCGATGAAAGTAAATTTTCATGAAAATCAGATTCCGAATATTTTTCGCTTGCATATTCTTACGCCTGTAATGCTAATTTTTTTCATAGTATCTAGTATAACGTCATTTACAACTATTTGCATAAGGAAAGTTCATTATTTCGATATACATGTATTTCTCTTATTAGATTTCCCATTTAAATTATCTTTATTCAATACCAAAACGACATTTATATTTATCAATATGTTTGAATATTGAACATGTAGCGATTCCAGAACAAACTCGAATAATGTACAAACCATCCTCAACATCAAAAACATTTTCCTTAGGATTTATATGTGAAATTCCTTCGCTACATAATTATCAACGATATTTAATTTTATTTGATGATGGCACTGCCACTTATACAACGAATAATAATACGATATATGTATGTCTTTGCCAAGATTTTGAACGAAATCTGCGTTCGATTGAATCGACAATGCTTCGACAAAACTTGGAAAAATTAATTTACAATAAAAATTCAAATAAACGAAAATTTCAACTTCAAGATGAAGTTCGAGTAAAAAAATTCGATGATAAATATCATAATGCACGAATGATTGATACTGATTGTTCAATAGTAAAATTAAAATTTTATGAAAGACAGGCACAAACAGAAATATGGATGCACTTAGATTCATTACTAATTGATGATGCAGAAATAGCATCAGTAGATATAGCAAGTCCTGTGATTTTACAAAATAAACGAAAATGTGAAGAAATATTACCAAGTAAGTTAACGGTGATTAACATTTTTGAAGATATAAAACTATAATTTCTCATTATTTGCCATTTCCCTTGGCCCATCTTAATGAAATTTCGGCTTTCTATTAACAGTGTTTCATGAAGCATGCGAGCCTATTAAAACAGCGGTTCGTTGAAGGCCGAGTTTTCTTCCGAAGTTTAACAGTTTTTTACCCGGAAGAGAAAATATGGGTAATCAACGAAGATTTATCTTTGTCATTGGCTGCACACAGTGTATACCAAATACACAGACAACTTCGACGATGATACATTGTCTCATTCATTTTTTTTTATATGGCCACTAAGTCTCTTTCGGAAAACCCGACTTTCATATTTCGACCGGAACCTCTCTACATTATGAGTGTAGTATTGTAGAAAATGATTAAATCTCTTAGTTTGCTTTCTATTCAGACACAATAACATTGGAAATGTTGAGATATATATTAGGATCTCTGGATATCTATCTCATGCACTTTCGCCCTACGACAGTAATGATACGATGAAAATATAGGCATAAAAGGTTTTTCCTATTAATCTATATCCTCAACTCGAACACACAAAAAAACCGAGAACTCGCACTTAATCTTCATTTTAGTTTCTCAACCACCACCACCACCACTGCGAGTTTCAACACGTACATCGTTGTCGAACTTGTATCAATCTCATCAATGTTCTCGTTATTGTGTACTGACCGCTGAAGAAAATTTTGCACCACATAACATTACCGAAAACCCCTACACATTACCACTTTCGTAAGAATGTTTTTCAAAAATTTCTTCTCATCGATTTTACTATCATTGCTTTATTAGATGCGGCTGGACTTATTTTCATATCGATCGTCATGGGGAAGGCCAATTTACAAAGAAACCATCAACACGTAAAAAATTGCCATTTAGTTCAACTTATCTATATCGTTCGCCATGTGGTCGTTCATTTTTGACATTAGACGAAATTGAAGAATATCTATTTCAAACCGATTCGAAATTAACAATTAAATTTTTTGTCAATGACCGGGTAACACGTCTTGAATCGTGCCTTAAATATAATTCAAAATATATTCTCAATGAAGACATATCACAAGGAAAAGAACATGTGAAAATTCCTATTTATAATGAAAATAATTTAGAACTTCCAGAAGAATTTACATACGTGACACAAACACCTTCAAAATTAAAAATTTCAAATGATACATCAACAATGACATGCTGTTCGTGTACGGATAAGTAAGTTTAGAGGTTCAATCGAACGTTCGTCTTGATATATTTCTCTCTCTCTCTGAAGTTGTCGTGACAGAATGAAATGCTCATGTTGGCTTAAAACATTCGAGCAAGCAAGGCTAAACGGAAACGAACAAATACGTAGTTGGCGGCGACGAAAGTTGTCCATGGAGAAAATGATTTCACGTTTCGGATATATTCATCAACGTTTAAAGGTTCCTGTTTGGAGTGGAATCTATGAATGTAATTCGAAATGTTCATGTCATGCAAAACAATGTACAAATCGTCTTGTTCAACATAGTCTGCATCAGCAATTACAATTATTTCATACGACTACAAAAGGTTGGGCTTTACGTGTTCTTCATGATATACCTCATGGAAGGTAAAGAATAGAAGAATTTTTTCTGATAACAAATTAGATTTTCATATTTTTGTTAGCTTTATTAATGCTTATGTTGGAGAATTAATAAATGGAGATATGGCAGCACATCGTGATTTTAAATATTTGGCTATATTAGATCATCAAAGTCATTTAAAGACAAATGATAATAAAAGCCGACAACAAGCGTTGAAAAATAATTTTAATGATGTTTTAAATGGTAAGAAATTTCGAAATGAATTCATATACGATTAACTGAATAAGTTATCGAAAATTTCGATTGAGAAAACTGATAATATTGATGCGTCAGTATTATCTATTGAATCTAAGTTGTCTTCAATAGCTGGGAGATACGCTTTTTTTTATAGATGACGCTGCAAAATTTCTTTAGTAAAACGATTTTATTTATTCTTTTACTAATTTGAATTCTTTCTCGTCATATGTTAAATTTTCGATATTAAACACTAGCTATTGAATCATTTATGCATACTTCTGAACAAAAATCGTAAGCACTACTACTACTAGTTGTTGCGAGTATCGCCGTAGGCCATAAAATCACACGGCATTCGCTTTTAAGATGAAATACAATCAGTTAGTCAAGTGTTTCGAATAGTCATGAATCATCTTGACCATATTTACGAGCCAAGAAAATTGATTTTACTTTGTAACCATCTTTTTCATGCGTATCATCGACAAAGGTCAAATGCATGTTTTTTGTGCTGATATGAAAAGAAAGAAAATACAGACATTATCAATACATAAATAACATAATTGGTAAAGATATGTGGTAAGTGATAAGAAGCACATGCAATGTGATTTCTATTTTCTGCATAGGTTTGTAACGAATGAGATATAAAAGTGTTCTTATAAATTTTAAAACTTTTATCTTATTTTTTCTTTGTTGCAATTCTAGCCAAAACTCTAATTCCAGTAAAAAAGTGTATTCGATTATCCCATGATGGTCAGCCAAGCGACGACGACGATGACGACGACGATGATGATGATCATGAAGAGGATGAGGATTCATGTTTTATTATCGATGCAAAGCATTATGGTTCAATAAGCCGATTTTACAATCACTCATGTAAACCAAATGTGGAGATCCAAAACGTAATTTCTCATTTAAATGTATTATTACTCGATAATATCCTTTTTGCTTGTTCTTACAGATATTTATTAATTCTCATGATCCTAGATTTCCGGTAATTGCACTTTTTGCATGTCGACATATCCGGGCTGGTGAAGGTAAGCTTCCGGAGAAATTTCTTCTCTATTGAATTTGTTTTTACATATTAATAGAAATATGTTGGGATTACAATTATAAAGTGGGTTGTATGCCTAATGTACATATCGATTGTCAATGTCAAGCATCCAATTGTCGTGGTCGCTTATTGTGATTAAAATTGCTTTTTTTTGTTTTTAATTTTCGCTGAGATAGTTGAAAATAGGAAATTTATATATTTGTTCAGTGTAGAAATGCTCAGAAAATGTATTTATCCCAGTTGTCAATAGTGATACTCTTTCACATTTCGTCAAGAGTATTCTTTATTTTTGTATTTTATAAACTTTTTCTTTCTGCTTGTTACTTATGGGTATCTCGTAAAACATTTTGTTATTAAAATAAAAAAGAAACACTCAAAAAATAAAATAATAGCGCGTAGTTTGCTTTTTTCCTTTTGCTCTTAACGTCTATAAACTTTTTTTTTAGAACATGAATTTTGTTTGTCAAGAAGTATATGGCTTTTTTTTGTTTGGTTGAATTTTCATACGATTTATATTTTAGCAAAACAAAGAAAATAACAGTCTGCTCAATCGAACCAATAAATTTATCACAGGTTAGATTTTGTTTCGATTGATGAAAGACAAGTTTCATCATGATTAAAAATTAAATTTTTAGTAATTTTTATAAGGTAAAGCAGCATACTATAAAGCAAAAGAATAAATAAATTTTGCACACGACTATTGCTGATTCTTTTTAAAAATAATTCAAGCGTTTTCTTTGTTTCCGATTGTGATCATCTAATTCTCTCTACTGACAACATCCTTCATAATTGGAGATATGTCACTTGCAAGTAAAACATAATTTATGTCACTGCTATTGATTAATTAAATATAAGAATTAGAATAGAACACTATCGATTATTTGTTTCAAGAAGAAATCATGATTGATATTTTAATTCTGCATGCTTGAAATCAAAAGATAATAGTATTGTTTTGCAAATTATTTGATGATACATATTTTTATTTTTTTTGCACACCGTAATTTTAATTCACTGCACAATCTAATTGCATGATAACTAATAGTCGTATCTCGTTGTCTACAGAAGTCATAACATTGTACGTGATAAATTTTATTTTAACGATGTTCATTTGAATCGTATTTCGAAATTTAACGTTCTTGCATGCATAGAGACTACAGCTTTTAAGAGCTATATATATATATATATGTATGTATGTAATACCGATAATTGTAAAGTTATGTAATCAATAGATTATTCATAAATGTCTTTGCAGAGTTAAACATACATGCGATGGAAACTTAAAAAAAATTCATTTGCACTGCGCAGGAAGAAACCATCTGCTCCGATAAAAAAAAGTCATTGAGACATAAATTATTACTTCGTTAAAGGTTAATAAAAATTCAAGGCGATAAATAATTTATGGCTACAGTTTCTCAATAATAATTCTAGTTCTAGAAGTGATATTCTTAACGTATGCAAGAATGATAGATTGCTAAATAAATCTAAAGAACAGTTTCGAATGATAGAACGATAATTTACTTAAAAGTATTTGATTACTTTGATTATCTCCTTCATTTCCTAGATATCAATCATCGTAGTACATCATCAACATCAATATTCAACAATGGTCATTCGATTGGCCCGATCATACCACCCGTAAGTCTGTCAGAAACAAAAGAGCACATCGTTACAAATCGGCATCTGTTAGGGCAAACAACCAGTATCACAAGATATTGAAGTTATTGTTCTTGACGATGATAGTGATGTAGAACCAATTGGCATATCAAATATAACTACACATGAAACCAACAATTCTGATGTTTTAAAAACTTTGATTTCAACACTTGACACCAATACTGAACTCATTCATGTTAAACCAAATTCTTCTACTCAAATATGTACAGCCGCATTAAATTATTCAAAACTTGTAGAAACTAGTATTATTTTAGTAAACATTATAATCAAAACATTTCCTTTAAAAATTAGCATTTTCTCGTTTAACAGGTTAATCATTATCCGATAGCATCTACAGAATGTATAATCAAACGATATTTATACTTGAGCAAACCATGCCAATCATTATCTATACCAACTCGAATTCGTATTTATAATCGTTCATTATCTCTTCTCGGTTTTATAATTGAAGAACCCAGTTCAATAGAAAATCTCAACCGATATCTTATTATTTATGATAACTATACAGCCAATTATCATTCGCCAATGGATTTTCATCTTTGTCTTTGTCAAAATTTTGAAAAGCATATGTTAAATTTTGATAACTGCGAATTACGTTCCTATTATCAACGTGCATTTCAAAATTTTAATACAAGCAAACGATCAAGTACGTCTATAGGCACAATAATACGCGTAAGAAAATTTGGTTCGCAATATCATAATGCACGTATTATTGATAAAGATTGTTCATTGATAAAGATATGTTTTTTTGAACGAAAATCTCAAACAGAAATGTGGATACATTCAAATTCATCGCTTATTGATTCAACGCAAAATTTATTATTATCAACAAAACTAGCAATATCATCATTTGAATCTCATAATTTAACGCAAGAAATCATAATTACAGATTTGGATTTAGATTTATCACGGTTACGTAAGCGTAAAACGAGTGGCAATAATATAAATGAAGGTAACTGATTGAGTATTGCGTGTTAAAACAATGAGCGATGTAATAGAGCAATTATTTGTCTGTCGCACATGAAAAATGTACTTATGAAAGACAAGAAACGTCAGATAATTTGATTAATTAAAAGTAAAACATATTCTGACATTCATAGGAATTATCAGTAAATATTACGAAACAATGAATTAATTATAGACGCATTTATTTCGAACATATTTTCATTATAAGGAAGTATTCCATTCGATGATTACATCTCTCTCTCTCTCTCTCTTTATGTTCATCTTATTATCAATCAAACATCTCGTGACAATCAATCCTTTGAGGATAGAGTTACTTTTAAGAGCGAGAATTTTTCGAAGCCTTATAACATATCTTAATACATATGGAGAGATCAAAGAATATCCGAAAAGTAGTTAATATATAGACGAATGCAAGTCTTTTTTTCAGATTCATATGTAATAGATTAATAATCTGTACGTGTATGTACATCATTAAAATAAGAATAAAATCTCATTCAATTTTAGGTAGAAAAAAGCTTCGTGATCGATCGAATACTAAACAAACACAAATTTCACAACGACAATCTTCATCGTCGAGTGATGAAATTCCATCAGCATCGCGTGCTAACATGCTTACAGCGTATTATACTAATATTCTTTTACCGAAATTTCGAATGCTTAACAATTTACCATCGATTCCACATAAATGTAATCGTCAATGTGTTTTCTTGGCCGAAGAAAAATTTCACATTAATAAAATTCATACAAATCCTTTTTTACTACCATTTGAATGTCGATGGTCAATTATTGATGGCAAACCACGCAGTTATCGCACACCATGCCGTCGTACACTTCAGTCACTTGAGAATATTGAAGAGTATCTCTATCGAACAAAATCAAAGTTATCAATAAAATTTTTTGTTAATGATCTTGTAACGCGTTTTACACCACCGATAGACAAATTTGATGAAAAATTTATTATGATCAATGATCTTTCTTGTGGCCAAGAAAATATTCACGTAACTGTATATAATGATATAGATAATACGAAGCCAGATAGTTTCACTTATATTACTCAAATACGTCCGTTTGACAATCGAATTTATGCTGCATTTAATGATACGAATTCGACATCATGCTGTGATTGTACTGATAAGTAAGATAGATTTTTATTGTTTGGGAGTTTAAGTGAAACCTTGTTGCCTCCTGGTTGAGTAACGTTTATCGAATAACAGATTGCTTTGTAAAGAAAATTAGATACAAAAATGATTAGAAAATCTACCAGTAGCAATACTCAAAAAATCTGTTGCTTAAAGGAAAATATATGCTTTAGTAATTGTTCTTATCGTTAACATAAATCAGCTTGATCAACTTAGTATGTAGTCTTTTTAGAAAATAATTTATTACGATTAAGCAAAGTTAAAAAAATTTTCATAATTTTTATTTAGTATATTTATTTTCTAAAGTCTTGATGGCCGCACTAAGAAATCGATAAGATTCTGTCAGATGTTCGTCGTGTGCTGTAGCAAAACATTTTGCTATGTGTAACTTAGGAAAAAAACAAAACAAAGGTTAACCTAAAAAGCGATGAAATCAAACTAAATATTTTCATCTGATACGCTTTTGGAGTACATAACAAAGCAACAATAGAATGCAGGATAGGACGCGTGTATACGCCGCCAGAGAAAAGATGCATGGAATGTTCTCTATTAAAAAAATCAATCATACTATTTGTGCTTGAACTTTGTGCCTGGATTGATATGCAAGAAAAACTTAATTAGCTGATTTTCATATAAACAAAGTTTTCCTCGTATATGTATTGAGATCCATAAGTAGATTCTGCAAATTTGATACAAAATCTGGGTCGCCTTGACATTCATTTAGAAGATTTTTTTACTCATCATTAAGCAAGGGAAATCAACGATTTGATTGTTGAGAGTATTGTAATAGAATATTTTGAACATCAAACATTCAGTTTCGAACGAAACAACAATTACATTGATAATTAGTACTAATATGTGTATAACTTACTATGCTCAATATCTAGAACTAATTTTCGGCCCGTTTCGACCTTACGACAAGGACATGTCTGGCTATTCAAAAAAAAAACGAGGCAGGAGACAAAGAACCATTATTTTATTGATGATTGATTTCGTGTATTGTGTATAGACTATTCAATGTTGATCGCAAATTTGAGGTTCCTTTTGTAAACGTGTGAGTCAAAATCTCATTATAAAAAATTCATATTTATGAATTGTTTTGTTATGATCATTTTCTCAATTAATATAAGATTTTAAGTAATTATAAATATTGAGTCTACTGCCACTTGATAGTTTTGAATATGCAAAGGTTTTACGATGACTTCTCTCTAATCATAGTAAACAATCGAAAAATCTGTTTCACTAAATCATTCGACAAATCTAAAACAAATTTTTTTCTCTTTGTTTTCAAGTTGTAGGGATCGAATGAAATGCGCTTGCTATCGTAAAACACTCAATCAAGCTCTACTTAATCATGATCCATTAGTTGTTGAAAAACAAAAAAACCGTTGTACCCTATCGTATATCATGAAAAGTATTGGCTATGAACGGAAACGTCTACTTAATCCAGTATCAAGTGGTATATATGAATGTAATTCAAAATGTTCATGTCATCATCAACATTGTACAAACCGTCTTGTACAACAAGGCTTATTTGCTCAATTACAATTATTTAAAGATAAAGATAAAGGCTGGGGTCTACGCACATTACATGATCTACCACGTGGAACATTTATTTGTCAATATGTTGGAGAATTAATAACATCAGATCAAGGACATGAACGTGCTCAAACAATGGACGATAAATATCAAACGAGTCTTGATTTAGTAAAACAAATTCATTATGACGTTAATAATGATGAAGATGATGACGATGACGATGAACCATATGTTATTGATGGCAGTTTATATAGTAACTTAGGAAAATATTTTAATCATTCTTGTAATCCAAATATGTACATTCAAAATGTATTTATCGAATCACATGATTTACACTTTCCAAATCTAGCTTTATTTACTCGTACTCGTGTTAAAGCAGGAGAAGGTAAGTTTATAAGGACAACAACAATAATCTCATTCTAAAACTCCTAGAAGGAAACGAGAGCATAATATTTATTTTTTTTCAATCTTATGAAACCAGATCTAAAATAAATCTTCGTTTTTATTACTCATCTCATCAAAAGAACGAGTCGAATAACATGTAGACTTAGTATGCCATTTTTTTTCTTCTTCTTGTAGAACTCACTTGGCATTATAATTGTGAATTATTACCTGATCGTGAAGTGAAATGTTTTTGTGGCTCAAAAAATTGTCGTGGGCGTCTTTTTTAATAAAATAAAATAAAATAAACTTTTTCGCAAGTCAGTTGAACCTATTTATGTTGTTATTTCTTGACATATTTTTGTTGATTTTGTGTATGTGCTTTTTTTTCTTGTGGACATTTTTTTGGATAAAATTCTTTCTATGTCGCCGGTTTCTTTTTTTTTGTCATCGCAATGCATCGGTCAGATTGTTCGATGAGACTCAACACCATCCAAAAAAGAAGCAGATTGAGAGAAAGAAGAAGAAAAAACATGATGACTGAAGAGTGATGACCGTCATTGTTGTGTATACGTATAAGTGTGTGTTCTATGACCCTCGTACCAAGGCAATATATAGGGTATGTACAGTTGGTGAGCATTGACATTGAAGAAACAGGGGGAGAAGAGGGAAAGAAAGAGAAAGAAAGAGCGCATAAACGAGCGAATGAGGGAGCAAAGGCTCTATTCATATATATTGTTTTGTTCCACACACACACGCACAGATACACGCTTGCACGAGCATAGAAGAACGAACGAGTCAGAAGAGAAAAAAGCGAGAATGAGAGAATATAGAGCAAGATGCCGATATGATTGCTGTTGCTTCTTAATCGCAGTCCTACTCTTTTCCCTCTTTATTCTTCATTTTGTTTCTCTATCCAAAACGATTATGCAAGTTTTATAGCTCGGCAGTAGAATGATGTCAATCGACGATTACATACATACAAATATACGTTTGTAGATGTTAAGTGAACTCGTGTGTTCAGTCATACTTCTCGTATATCGTAGGTTGTACTTGCTTTTTAGTGGATTACTCTCAAAGGAAATGTTTATATAGGCATTTATTGTTTTTTTTTGCCAAACAGAAAAAAAATATCGATAATAGAGTAAGTAGATTGAGGCGGTAAGGATGTTTTAATTGGCCAGACTGTGCTTTTTTTTATCAGCAAGATTAGCTATTGCAAAAAGAAATATGTCTAGAGTTTGGTAATGAGCCGACAGCATGTGAAGTTCTTTTTTGTTTTTTATTGCATGTTCATTACTCTCATTCATATTTTGTTATACTTTAACGAGAGAATAATGAAAGGTCGATGAGCTCTGAATTTATGTATATCTCGTTCATTCGATCATCTCTTTTCCAAATATTGATTTGAGCTGGTGAGTAAGACATTTGATTGACCGTGTCGTGCCTTGTCGTTCCCTTCTCCTTCGATTTTTTTTTATCCCTGATCACATTAACCGTCCAGCGATCAAATTAATTCTACTAATTAAATTAATTCTTCGTCAAATATCAATTCTCTTTTCTCTTTCTTTTTCAAGATCTTATACTATTAGACTAGAAAGAAACATGAATTGAATTTTCTACACGAATTGTGATTTGAAAATAGAATTCAAACTGGCGGCTCCATTCGTTCAACAACAAAATGCAACGAGATCGGACACGAAGAAATTTGTTCTCTCGTCAGCAGCAACAGCAACAGCAGGAGCAACAGCAATAACAACTGCATCTTTATCATCATCTCAATCTCTCTCACAATCGACAGACGATTCATCAATAGCAACGGTAGCTATGACACAACCATCATCAACGTCTCTTCTATCGGATATTGTACGACAAAAATCTACAACATCACCATCAAATAATTGTTCATCCATACAATTACAAGATGATACATCATCATCATCGTCATCGAATAAGACACGTTTACTTCAACGTATGATTTCATTAAGACGTTCGTCAAGTAGTAAACCATCAACACCAATTTTATCATCACACGTATCATCAACTTCGTCGTCGTGTCGTTCATACAATGTCCGTGCATTTGAAATAGCACGAGATCGAAATCTCCGCCATTATCCTTGTATAATACATTTTCTCGATGATACAGAACGAACTTTTCACGTTGATGTAAGTGTAAAGAAAAACAATCGACGCTTTTTTTGTTGATTTTTTAAGTCAAGTTTGTTTTTATTTCGTAGCGCCGTTCTAAAGGAATCGATTTATTGAATGAAGTATATGATTATTTGGATTTATCGATTGAAAGAAAGTATTTTGGTTTACTCATCGAAGATTTAACACAAGATTTTGCATATCGATGGTTAGATTCAACGAAAACTCTGAAAAAACAATTGACAACAACAATGTCACAATATCATCTTTACTTCAAAGTACGATTCTTTCTAACCGATCCTTCAACACAAATCGATGATGAATTTACGAAATACTTGTATGTATTACAAATAAAGAAAGAACTGTTAAGCGGCAAAATGTGGTGTCCACGATCAACAGCAGCTATACTTGCAAGTTACATTGTACAGAGTACGTATTAAAATAAGAGAAGGAATCGAAAAAACGAACTCGTTATTCTGTCTTATAGGTGAACTTGGTGATTATGATCCGGAAGAACATCGACAAGGTTATTTAGAAGATTTTCGTTTTGTACCATTTCAAAATCCGGACTTTGAAAAAGAAGTTGAACAATATCATAAAGAACATGGGTAAGAACATTTACAAAAAAAAAGAAATTTCATACCTATATAATAATATCATGAGCTTCTATCGTTCGTACTCTCATTAGTATAGCTACAACGATAATTTATTTCGGAGAGGAACAAACTCGTTTTTTCTGTTGCTATCTGTATCGGTCGTTTGATATTAGACAGACTACTACATCATTTCATAAATGTCATAACCAAGCAGAGTCTATAGGCATGACACACTACATAGACTAACAGCGAGAAAATAATAATATTAACATAGTGAGAATGTTGGTTGTTGTTGTTTTCATGAATAATAGCAATTCGAATCGTTAGCATATCTTAGCCAATTTTTGTCTTGAGCTTCTATTCATACAGATAAAAAAACAAAATTCTTTTTTTTTCCTATTTATCATCCGTATGTTCGATTTTCTCAGCTCATCATATTCTACTCTTTGGTTTCAATCGTTATAGCTACTTCCTTTGTTTCTCTATTGTTTGATTAGTAGACATATCTATTTCTTAAAGTATCATTTTATGAAAGAAAGTAAAAATCGGACACCATAAAAGTTGCTGAGATGACTTTTTATCGTTCAAATGGTTCTCTTGATCACATGTGAAAACAAATATTTATGCATATGATACATTAGAAGTTTAAACAAATACACATTTTTACTTCGAACAGTGAAACCTTTTTTTGTTACAATACAACGATTAAAATCTGACAAAAGTTAAACAAAGATTAATTCATTTATTTGTCAAATAGAGGTCAATCTCCTGCTGATGCGGAAGTCAATTATCTTCGGGTTGTCAGCTCCTTAGATATGTATGGTGTAGAATTACACAAAGCATCTGTTAAAGTAAATAGATCGTTAATGTAAAAAAGTATTTATTTAGTTGATCGGTATATTTAATTAGGTATCGACTACAAATGATACTGTAAATAATTCAGTTGTTGAATTATATGTCGGTGTTTGTGCCATTGGAATATCTGTTTTTCAAAACTCAACGAAATTAAACACATTTCCTTGGTAAAATTTCATTGAAGAGCTCGAAGGTATCATCAATTTTCGTTTTCTAAATTAGGGATCGAATAACAAAAATTTCTTTCAAACGTCGAACATTTTACATTCAACTCGTTAAAAGTCTTGTAAGTGAATCGTTTTTTTTTTCATATCAATAAATTCAATAAGATAGAAAAAACTATAAATTCCAGAATGAAGACGAAATACCATCACCGTTATCTATCATGGTAAACACATATTCTACGCTATCCTATAATAAGCATGATACTGCATGTCCTTCATTACTTTCGATTATTCTTATTCTTGTTGTTTTTATAAATAATGCAGAATTTTATATTAATTTTTATTGAATTTAGAACGCACCAGATGATAACTCCATTGTATTTACATTACGTAGTTATCGCTGTTGTAAATATTTATGGAAATCATGTGTTGATCATCATACATTTTTTCGTTTAACATCAATTCCACAATCGCCTAAGAAATTCTTTCATTTTGCTAATAAATTTCGACATAGGCAAGTATTGATTATATCCTACGCAAATATTTCTACATGCTTTTCTATTTTTTCTAGTAATGACGTGGTACCAAATGGTTTATTAATTGAAGCTAATAGTAGAAAACCAAAAGTATTTGAAAGGTAAATAATGTCGCCATCTGATTATTTCTTGGCAAATGAAAAAAAAAAACTGTTCGCTTGTTTGATAGAGTTTCAAGTCGTCGAAGTTTTCGTACGGCAACCAATGGTTCATCAACATTGCCAGCATCAACATCGAATAATACATTATCATTAACTAGAAATTCCAATTTAAAAACAGTCTTATTTCTTTCGTCATCATCAGTTTCGATATCGAAATCTGATAAATTATTCAGTACTCGTTCACCACCACCACCAAAACCTCCTCGACAACCTTTGAATTCATCGAAAAATTCTCCATCGAGTAATAATGCGTTGATTGAAGCAAATGAATATAAACCAAAAAATGCCACTTTACCAAGAAAAAATAATTATCGAAATAGGTAATTAGGAATTTCTACGATTCTGAAAGCTAGAAGAACATCTAGTTTCTTTATAATCTCAATGGAATACTATGGATTATCCTCTACAAGCTGCTTTTAAGATTATGACAAAATCTAATTAAGCTGCTTGTCATTTTTTTTCCTATTTTATTTAGCCTTGAAATGTCGAATGGAATATCACATGCTGAAGATGACAATGCCACTAAAGAGAATTCTGATGCTATTGTTATTAAACTCCAACCAGATAATGATGGTCGATATGGTTTTAATGTGAAAGTAATAGTTTCTTTTTTTTAATATTTATTGAATAAGAAATATAAACATGTTCTTATTGTACCTAGGGCGGCGGTGATGAACACACACCGATTGTTGTCTCACGAATAGCATTAGATACACCGGCAAATCGGGCATCACTTCATGAAGGCGATCAGATCATATCAATAAATCATATTGATATTCAACATCATTCGCATGAAGAAGTAAATTGTAACATGAAAGAAATAGTTTATATTTTGTTGGTTTTAAATTTTCTAGGTTGTTAATATGATTCGTCAATCACGTGAAAGACCATCGGGTGAATTAGAACTTTTAATACGACCTTTGAAACAATGTCATTTAGCATCAAATGATGATAATGATGTCGATGTAGAACATACTTATGATAATAGCTTTTTAAATTTAAATCAAAAAGATCCATTAGAACTATCTCTTGAAGCATTACGTGATGATATTGCCACCGGTCATCTTATTGAACAGTATGAAGTAAGTTTTACATATTGGAAGTTTTATTTTATGAAAGTTTTCTTCGCTCTATGTAGACACTTCAAAGACGAAAAGAAGGTTTTACATTCGAAATTGCTGCTAGTCAAATTAATTACTATCGAAATCGTTACAAAGATGTTTTGCCTTATGATCAAACACGTGTTATACTTAAATCTAGTTCTGATAGTGATTATATTAACGCTAATTTTATTAATGTAACATAAAAATATTAATATATTTAAAAAAAACAAAAAAATCTTGATCTCTTTGTATTTTCTTAGATACCTATTAGATCAACAGATATGGTTAATCGTTATATAGCTACCCAGGGACCAATGCCAACAACGTGTGAAGCGTTTTGGACAATGATATGGGAACAACAATGTACATTATTGATTATGCTAACGACTTTATTTGAAAAGTCAGGAGAAAATATGAATTTTTATTTGAATAACTTATGTTATTGCTTTTTTCTAGTGGTCGAATAAAATGTCATCAATATTGGCCAAATGTATTAGAAACAGATGATTATGGTTTATGTAGTATACGATGTCGACGTGAACGAAAAGAAAATCAACTTATATATCGAGAATTTTTCTTAACAAATAAAGAAACGAACGAAGAAAGAATTGTTTATCAAATACAAACTGAAACATGGCCTGATCATGGTGTACCAAATGATTATTCATCATTCGTGGAATTTGTTTTAGAAATACGAGAATTAAGAAAATCAAAAAAACATCTACCTATTCTGGTTCATTGCAGGTATTGAATGAATACGAACACAAATTTCTACTTGTCTAGACAAAGAATATATTTATCAGTTATTTTATCGAAACTATCTTTCTTCACATGATTGAATACCTTTCAAATGAGACAGTCTTAGAATCAGATTAAAAATAAGAATTCTTATTCTATATCTATCGATAACGCGATTGATTCATTAAGAATGAACTTTTAAGTATATCGAATCTGTTTTTTAAGTAATCATTCAACATATTAGGACAACATTTTTTGTTTTATTATCTGCTGCAAAGCAGCATAATTAATTTGGTTGGGTCCAATTAAATGAGAATGCATCATAGTCTCTCAAATGTTTTTTCTATTAGATATATTGAATAATTATATTTGTCCTCCTTCGAATTCCGCAAGGCTACAATCAATTACTAGACCGGAATTGACTCTTGTGAAATCTATTGAAAGATTAAAGGTCTAGATCAATGACTTTTTCTCTAATTGAATTTGCCGCACTTTCTTTGAAAGTTTCTATACAGCATTGTCTTTGGTGTTCTTAAGTCCTTGGTGTGAAAGAAGATAATGGTGCTTTTGTAAAAAGAATAAGCAGTAGATGTTCTTCTGCTAGACGCAGCTTAAATGTAGAAGCGGGTAATTACAAACAATTGAGACAATATCTATCTTATTGATTAACCCAAAGAGTCGATTCTTCTCAAGGTCTCATTTTTCGAATGAGAAAATACTCAGCTGTAATGGCATAGTATATTCATGTAATTGTTCTACGATTTGATCTTTTCATGATTAATAGAAACATTAGAAAAGAAACTTCTGTCTACTATTAATAAATATATATTTGTTTTAGTGCTGGTATTGGTCGAACAGGTGTTTTGATATTAATGGAAACAGCTCTATGTCTTATTGAAGCAAATCAACCTATATTTCCACTTGATATTGTTCAACAAATGCGTGAACAACGTCTAGGAATGATCCAAACTGCTGTATGAATGCCTATAATAATCGATAAATTAATTGCTATTTTCATTGTTTAGAGTCAATATCAATTTGCATGTGGAGCCGTACTTTATGCCTATGATCAAGGATTAGTACAAGTGAATAGAACTTGACTGCCAATCAATCTTGTTTCTGTTTTTTTTTCTTTCTGTCAGATATTTGTTCCTATATGTTATGTGTATTTCTATATGCTCAATGTTAAAATAGATTCATTTCATTTTTTTTCCTGTTGTGTCCGTTCATTGTTTCTATTCAAAGAAATATTAATGCCAAGACTAGACTATTTTATGAATATGAAGAATTCGAAATTTGAACAGTCTCATGCGTGTTCATTTGTATACAAAAGATCTTAATTTTGTTTGGCTTTTGTTGTCTTTTTCTTTTTCGTGTAGATTTACGCTGCACCACTTTGTAATTAATTGCATTTTGTCGTTTTCTTGTTCTATTCCTGAAATTGACTTTATCTGTCTTTTGTTCTGTCTCATACTAATGTGATTTTTTTCTTTTTGAATTAATAAGATAGAAGATACTACACAACGTCCTGACACATATAAACAAAAGAATTAACTTCACAATACATGGTTAGGAGAATAATGTTGTTCATCAATGTATTTGTTGTTATCAATGTGAACAATGGACCCTAGCGATTGCTTCCAGTGAGTTGTAAGAGAAAAGAGAAAAAAACGATGCACTATTTTCAATACGTTATGATAGATTTTTGTGAGTAGATATCTGATGATAGTGTAAAAATTAATCGAAACAGTTTTCTCTTCATTTTTTTACAAACAATGTCGAATTAGAAATTAATAAGAAAATAAGCAAGGAACCGAACGTTAAGGCAAGTTTGTTGGAAACAAATGAATACCGTCGTTGTTATCTGTTCTGCCGAAATGAAAACAGTTGAGTTTAAATATCCTAGTTTTGAATTCAATATTCAAACCGAATAAATTATGATCGTACAAAAAATGATTTACGTACGTATCCAACAAAAAGACTACATCAAGCATAAACAAGGTGACCGTTAAATTTTACTCTCGGTTGACTGCTGAACAAAAATTTGATTATTTAAGCTTGAAATCATTTTCTAGGATAAAGTGAATCGAGCACGATGGGTTATGACGGGTATACACTAAACAAACGATAGGAACTTGAAAGCAGAGATCATGACGCTAGATATTCATTAATCTAGTTTTGAAATATAATAGGATGGTAACTATAGTGTAAAAGCAAACGCATCTAAACGTTTTTTTTTAATTCAAGTGAATTTTAACGTTCGAAAAATGACAGACACAAATATTAAAAGCTATAAACCTGTTTCTTAATGCCAACGATTTCATTATAATCTACTCTTTTTAACGAATCAGATGTTACTATTATAATTAGATAATTTGGTGATCGATTTGAATCATAGGAATTCATTCATCAATGGTTCAGGGCCATACGTAACAGTTGGAGGTTCATTATTGTTCGTCTTGATTTTCATCAGAGTATTAATGGTGATCTTCAGCAGTGTTTCTTTCGATTCAAAAGTAAAGTATCAATCGAAAAGAATAAAATGATATGTAACGAAAATTATTGTCTTCGTACATTCATTTATTTCTGTTGGCCTTGTGACGGTTCCATTGTTGAGTAGCTTGGCTGTCAATCATTATCTATATGTCTTGTAAAAATGAATGTTTTCTGTGTTAACGATGCGATTTCTCGTTCGACGAAGTCAACTAGAACGAGTTTCGTTATATTAGTAGCATTTCTCTCGTCAATTCCATCATATAGATTACATGTCATTTATGATGTTTCTTGTTCTTCATCATCACGTCTGACACATATAATATCTCTTGATATTGATAGATGAAATGAATATGTTTAGATTTCTCTGGTTATTTTAAATGTATTATGTAGTTGATATACGCATGTCGCGTTGTATATATTTAGAATTAGTGTAATATAAGATAAACATTTGACCGATCATTGTCAATAAAACCGATAGATGATGCGCAGTATCTTATGCAGCTGTATATAATACATAATTTTATATTATGAAAAGCCCTGGAACCTTTTTAACATTTAAAAATTAACAACATTGAGCCAAGATGTCTAGCTGCTAAGTTTATTAGGCCACAGAAACCATTTTATACAGGCACATCAGTTATTTTGGCTTAGTGTTACAGTTGGATTAATTATGTTAAAAAAAAGTCATGATGGCAGTTGATAACATCAACAAAAATAGACAAAATAACAACAGCCAAGAGGACAATATGGTATCTATCAGTAGAAGACGCATGAACATCGCCGATACGAGTTTGGCAAGAATATGTTCGTGGCAAACTTTCTTTATGAATCTATCTACACATTTTCATCAATTTTTAATTTTAATAATTTTTTCATCAGATGATCCATTCGATGATTGACAGTTTTCCCACTTGGCTTGATTTCTTTTACTTTCATTCAGATTTCGATCAAAGAAAACTTTAAGAAATAGAAGGTAGTCTTGAGGGTGTGGGTGTGGGTGTGAGTATAATCTGAAGAAGTACCCGTAAACTTAGATGAAAGATCAGTTAGTTTTGAAAATTATTATTATTTTTAAATAAGAAATAAGATTTTATGAGTGGGTTTGTTTATTATTGCGGTAAGTATGAGCATTTATTATTGATAAACGCTAATAAATGAAAAAAGGTCTGAATAAAAAAATTAAATTAAAAACTAAACAAAAAAAAGAATAAGAAATGAGAAGTCTTCAGGTTTTTTCTTGCAAGGAAATAAAACTTATTAATATCTGCTGGGTACAAAAGCAAAATAGAAAAACAATAAGTTTTCTAATGAATCTTGAACTAAAATCTGGATTCGCCCTTTCGGAAGCGATTCTAGCATCAAGTCGAGCTGCAAAGGCGTCCATTAGATAGAGCTCGTTGAGTTCTATCTTGGTCTGCTTTAATCATGTTTTGGTCCGGTGCTTGAGCGAATCCATACAAGAATTACTCGAATCCAGCTCCAAGATATCCTACGGTTCAACATTATTATCAATAAATTATCTGATATGATATTCCATTTTCTAATTAGTCTATATTCCTTTTTGTTTTATTTATTCAAAGAATTGAAAACAAAACTTTATTGTTCGATAATATGAAGTTCAAGAAAATCTTTTACGCTTCGCTGTTATCAAAAATTAAACTAGATATTTTATGCAACAGATCAATGGTTATGAAACTAGTTCTATGTTAACATAGATTACTTCATAACTAAGCTTACGATATCTAATAAAACTACTTAACATATATATTTTTGGAAAATATTCAAGACCAATACAGATTGTATTTTGAATGCTGTATTTAATTTAATTTTCATTTTACGTTCTTTGGCAACAATTGACACGAAAGTTTTTCATGAATATATACCTCATCAAAAACGGGGAAGCCAAGTTGCTTTTGACTTCAGAAAAGTATCCAATGTTTTGTAATTTTGACTTTGCATATTCAAAGAAACTGTTTAACTATCTATGAGTTGATTTTGATTTTTTCGTTTTTTCACTTGACTTGACTCAAAACTTGATAATTGAGTGCATGCCAAGTCATATTTATCTCGTCAGCTAAAACTTATATTCGATCAGAACCACGTCAAGCCATACTTTTATTCTCACATGTAAATTTCGCTGATAATATTTGAGCATAATTATCAGTCGGCAACAACACTTCGAGCATGCTTTCGATGACAAGCAAGAATTATCTGAGGTCTAAAAAATTTTTGGAGATTGAAAAATCAAAAATTTCATACGGTTAAATTTTTTTTAAATATGATATTATAATCATGTTTATCTTACGGAGAATGATAAATTCTTGAATCGATTCATTTCTATTGATCGGTATAAATAATAATAAAAAACTGATGTAAAATTTTTTCGATAAATTCATAAGTAAATCATGAAATTTGAAAAAATGTTTAAGCAAACACTTTGAGACTTAACTTGGTTTCAGTTGGAAATCT